ACGATGCAAAAATTTATTGAATTTGAAATTGGTTTTTGGATTATTTAGCGGTAAAATCGAAAAATAATCTCGGCGTTGAAGTTGACGCGAGCATGACATGAATTCCTAATTGCCGGATGTAATGCGATCGCGACTGCTTCACGTCCACAAAGTTTTTAAAACGTGCGCGCAAATGAACGGATATTGTCATGAGACGTAATCAACATTGGAATATTAATCATATTCTCATTGATAGAAATTTTGATTTTAATATTAAATTATTGATTGCGCTATTCCAAGTAATTTATGATAATCAAATTATATATTTGAAAATTTAATTATTAAAATAATATTTTTTAGATTATATATTATTGTTGTAGAGATTGTGAAATTAAAGTCGTTTAACAATCATAAAGTTTCAGAAATGAGCAATTTGCAAGCAATAAAAACGTTGATGTTTGTAATTTAATTTAAATTTAAGATAAAATAAAATAAAACAGAAAAAAACGTCTGTATTTACTTTGTACCCAAGGTACAAAACAAATAATCCCAAGATTTGTGATGAAAGTACTTAGACCACTTAAAGAGATTCACATTGTTGAGACATGACGTTTAAAATTGCCTAATCGCTAAGCACAAAAAGTTCTTTCCAAAGAAGCAATACTAAACCACAATTCTGGGAAACGCTTTATAAAAGTTTAGATAAAACACAATAAATAAATTTTACAAAATTATAAATAATTTATTTTAATATTTCGAGGTTCATCTAATTTTTAAATGCTGAATAGGTTTTTAAAGATTTATTAATTACCTAGCTACTAACTGCTGCTAAAAAACTATTCTTGTATCAGGTACAGCAATTTTTATTTTAATTGCAATTAAAAGAACTACGATGAACTTTTTTTTCTTCCTGGTGACACCCAATTAACTTATGTCGCACACTGCGAATTATGTCCAATTTGCGCCAACGTCAAAATTTAGTGACCATGATTTTGATGGATTGTAATGATAAAACATCATTAGTAACCTGATATCTGTTATTTATGGCGGCGCTAATTCTCACAAGTGGTAATGCAATATCCTGAACCCTTATTGGGCGCGTTTGCAAAGCGCGGCTCGATTATTCACCATTACACTGCGCCTGTGTTCGTTTAACATGTTTGCTTGAATGATAAGCTCATACTTACGCATGTGCTTTTAAATACATAATTTGACAACAGAGCGGCATACGGCACAAAAACGATATCGCTGTTGTGTGTCGACTGCATTTAGTGAATGACCCATTTCTTGAAAGTTTTCCGTCGACGCCGCGATTCACCAATTTATTTTACGACAAATATCTGTTTGCAACGCACGATTTAATCCCAAGTAAAAAGATAACGTCATAATATTTTGATCGCACCACTTGTCAGAATTATTCGTCCTCGAATTCCACCGAATCCCTCCAAAATGTGTTCTCTATTGTTTTGTTAATCGTATTGTTATTTAACGCCTACAATCAGCTTAACCCATCAAACAAACTTCCAATACGATGGCTTAGATTAATATTGATGCGAGAAATTACTTCCGATTCAATAGATTTAGTGCGAAATGGCTGCGATTTCGATAAATTAAATCCTCCAGATCTAGTCTAGTCTATATTCTTGCTGCTATTGCAGCCAGAAATGAATTTAATTATGCAAATGCAAGCCTATAATCAAACGTCAATTCGAGTTGTCAACTTGTATTCAACAGACTAATTTAACCGCGGCTAGAATCTATTTTAATTGCTCAATTTGCATTCCAAATATAATTCGTATCATTGAAAACAATTCGCAATCAAGCGTTCGGCAACTTCATTCGGTATTGCCAAAATAAGCCAATGATTTTATTAATTAGATAGCAATATAACTAAATTACGGGAATATTTGAAAATATTAATGTTGATTTATATCAAAACAAGTAAAAATATGTTATTATGTTATGTCTGGTGTAGTAAATATTTTATTTAGGAAACAAGTTCATTGAAAAGTTGAGCAAATATTTTGCTTTGGACGAGTTGTGAGAGGGAAACTAAAGTTACGGACTAGAGAGTGATTTATAAGGCCGGTGTTTATCCGCTTAGAGAGTGACACATACACATGCCTCAGTTTTCACATTGTGGTCATTTTCCGGTGAAGCAGTGCATGAAATATTTTAAATTTATTATCAGTGAAAGCTCAGGTGTGCTTATCGTACTTGCGCATTTGCATATGTTAACATTTTTTAGTTAAAAACAAGAAAATTACAATTTTGTTAGTTTTATATGTTTTCTTTCAAGATGTCGAAGAATTCTCTAATTTATTATGTCATTGACCTTGCAAACTTGACATTTAGATATTTGGAAAACAGAAGTAGAAACTATTGTTTGTTTGATATCATTCCGCAGTAATTATATCGCGAACTACATTAAAACTTTGCCCTTGATCTGAAAAACAAAGCGATTTGCTAATTTCAAAGCATTAGATACTGGTTTATTGACTCGAAAGGAAATCACTTCCAACTATATTATGAATCTTGGGTACAAGTACAAAAAACTTTAGCGTATTAAGATAAGGAATCGGAAGCAATGAAAAAATAAACTATAAATCTATCAATTGAAATTAAATCCTACATTGTACCAGCCAAGATTACGCGAACGAGGTTTTCTTGTACAAATACCCAAGCAGAGTGAAGAAAATATTTAACGTTAAGCATTTCCTATCAAAACGAAATCGGGAAAAAAGTAAGTGTAACCAAAGAAGGCGAAGAACCAAAAAAACAAATAGAACTTTTTTTCACTGCTCACGCAAGTTGAAAAAGAAGAATATTTCATATTGATATTATCTGAAATAAACAAGCGGGTTTGTCAAGTTCCTTTTTTCAACCCTCCTTCCGCTCTGTTGTTTCACAACAGCCTTCAAGAGGAAAAGTTAGCAAAAAATTGATTTCTAATAAATTATTTACACTTTTTAAGCAATCAATTTCACGAATAAATAAAAACACATGACTGAACAAATTAAACGCTTGTTTTTTTCTAGTTTGACAATTTCGTAAACAATTTTAATTGACAATTTTGAGCGTAAATAAAAATAAATTACTATACGTGGCGAAAATATTGGAATCCACATCGATCCAAACTAAACTACTAGATAAACTTCGATAATATGTCACACATTCGCAAGGTTGTTTTATTACCCAAACGTATACATAAAGTTTTTTTCAATAACGTGGGCCAATTCTCGTAAGTTTTTTTTAGCCGTAGTATTGGGTTTTATTCCATTTCGCCATAAATCCTAGCCCAAGAACATCACAGCAAAAGTAACAAGACAGTTTTGCTTGATATCATTACGGCGGCATCTATTGAATACGTATTTGGCGGAACCGAATAAGATCAGCAAAGATCGGCATAGTGTGCGGGAGCAATAAATCTGAAAATTTCGCTCGTGTGCGCGAAGTTGGGACGCAAAGTGTGGCGAAAAAAGCGAAAAAATCAACCTGAACGCGCGCATGAATGAAAGAACGCAGAGTGTAACGAGGAGCGATGCGTAGGCCGACGCCGAATTCGGACCTGTTTGTCGCGTATTGATTGCGAATTTATTGTCGTTCGCTGATGCTGCTGCCGCTGCATCTGACGATGATACAAAATATAAATACGAAACAATTTATTTTCATCTATTTGTTTTGTGATGAATGCGATGAAATTATCTTCGCAAACAATTTTCAACTATTTTTTTACCTCAGTGCACGAAGGTAGGGCGTCAAGTGCGATTGAAAGTTAAAATTGGATTCTGGATGAGTTCACAGATTAAATACGTGAGATATTCATGTCACGCGCAAACTATTTCCGCGCGCACACACTTAAATCGCGTTGGTGGCGACCGGAGACAACAACATTATGCAGTAAGTGTTTGTCGTATTATGGAATTCGAAATTTCGCAATCATTTATCTTCGCGTCGCGACCTTGACATTTGGACAACTCAGTTCGCAGTCGTCGGCTGTCGCACCCTCGTTGGCTTAGAACACCGATTACATTTCGGTATGATAACGTTCTATCATTGGGACATGTCTTCTTCCTGTGTTTATTTCCAGTTCCAGATCATTTCAGCAAAAAACACGAAAGTGAAAGTACTCTGATCAAATTGAAAAATTTTTCTTCTCATCTTTCAGTAATTTATTGCATGTCAAGGAATTAATGTAGTTAATATATTTAGTTCCAAAGTTGTATTTTGTTATTTTAAATTGAGTTGTAAATATTATTCATCGTTCCATCGTTCCATACTGGATATAATAATTAAACTGTTAACAAGTTGATTTATATCATATATAATTGTAATTAACTGTTTGAAATTAAATTTATTTCAACTTTTTCGTCAAACGGGTTTATATTCATGTAAGTAACTTTTTAAACTTTTGATTAAGCTTTTATTTTTATGTATTTCTACCATATGTGTAATTTAAATCGTAATTTTGCATGTTTTTGACTAGCGAATTACTCTTAATCCCAATTTTAATGCATATCCTACTGATAACACAAATCGAGTTCTATTTACAATTGAGATAAGTCTTCATATGACTGCGAATAGGTTTATAATCATCCCAAAGTTTATCGCTATAAAACCTTCCGCAAACTACTGAATATTAATGGAAATTACAGCTTAAAAATGTCTCATTGCAGCCAAAATGCGTTTGCGCACTGAAATTTTATAGCCGCGAGCGCGATCCAAATTATATCTCGCCAATGCATTTCTGGTTATGGGAACATTAAAGTTGTACGTAATACTTTACGCCTCCGCCCGATATTGTAAACATAAATTGTTCCGCGTTGGCTTTAATAGCGGAACATATTTGCATCGCATATTGCAGTTTTAATAGTAATATTGAACCCGACGAGAAAAACCACGCTCTTTTGTGAAAAGTCAAATTAATCAGCAGTCGATTGCAATGTTATTCTTTATGCAATCAAGTTATATTGTAAGTGTAATTGATGGGAGGGGGGTAAAGAAATAATAATTATACTTACAATTGGATAAATTCAGTGTGCTTGTTGACCAAGTTCTAGGAAGAATCGAGATGGTCTGAAAAACAAAATACATACATATTCATTTAATGTTATGCGTTTTCAGTTACACAAGCGTTTCATAATTGTACGCATGCAAATGAGTGCCTAAATGGCTTAAAACTCTATGCGGTACGTGCACACCCCGCGGCTGCATTTGAAAAAGGCATTCTCGCCAACCAAAGAATGCCGCTTGTTTTAATTCATCATCATTGTGCCGTACACAAAAGTCCACTTGAAAATTCATGAAATTTTGTTTAATTGGATGTTAATTGGTCCCAAAGTCCCATAGACGCGCGCCTATTCCCCGAATTTCCATTTACCCACACACACTTTAACACAAAACGCAATGTTGCTGCGTGTGGAAATCCGTAGCTTAACTAGCACCAAAAGAGGAAATTACAGAACCTTATAACAGTGTAATTTACACGGCACATTAAGCTGACCGTACAGCACACGCGCGTTTTTCAATTCTCAAGCAGCTGCTGACATTGCGCCATAACATTAGGGGATTTCGTGGTTTTATACAACCAGAAGGTCATAAGCAATAACACTAGCCTGTTGCCATCTACACAGAGAATCTACTTATTTCGAGAAAAATCCTCGCACCGAAAAATATAATTTTCCGCTCTGATAATACAAAAAAAATAGATGTCTACGACGGAGATAATTTTGCGATCGATAAGTTGATATCGATTAATTATTATGACACTTTTCATCGCCCTCATTATAACTCATCGTTTAATAATATTTTCGTTGGAGTTTATCAGTCACTCCTGCAAACATATGTTCTGTATAATCATTAATAGCGCTTGCAAAATTTATCGAAGTTACGCCGCACAAACGACAAACTAAACTCGCTATCGATTTATCTATGGGTTTATCAATTTCAGTAACTTTATAGTCACATAATATTAACCTAGGTGTTATATTAACAGTTACTTTGGAATATTTTTAATATTTATTTTATTTTTGCATTAAAAATCAAACATTTATTTTAAACGACTTGTAGGTATTTTACGTGAATTCGATAAAGCCGTTATGTAAATCTTGGCGAAACGTGTATTTGATTACTTCTGGTATTTTATGTAAGCTCATTATGCATTTCCCCACGTTAGCAAAATACTCCGCAAGGAAAAAAATATTTGTTATACTTATGCCGCTGGAAAAGCAATATTTTACGGTGTTAATTTAAACTAAGACAGATTTATGCCATCCAATTTATTTTTCTGTGCATGCACCAACAACTATTTATTCCTACCTCATTTAATCCTCGCTGTTAATGCTGTCATAGGGCGGCGGATCCTCCTCCGTGATTAGTTTGAGGCGCACGGTCTCGGCGGCGGAATCATAAATTGCGGCGACATTAGGAATCATTACGTTCTCGACCTCGACGCTATCAGTCTTGAGTGGCGGCGGCGGCGTCTGTTTCCTCTCCCTTATCGACAACGCACGGTGAACACCGGACGTGGGCAGCATGGAACTTTGCGTCTCGTTGCCGTTACAGGTCCGCTCCGACCTGTAATTACCCGCGCGCTGTTGATTCGTCGAACGGTCGACATCGAAACACGGCAACACATGCTTGAACTCCTTGCGAAAGTTTTCGTTCAACCAGGCGTACAGGAACGGATTATAGCACGTCGACGACATCGCCAGCGAATGCACCATGAAGAAGAGAAGATAATAGTAGGGCCATTCCATGAAAGGCCGGTAGAAATCAAAAATAATGTTGAACATATTGAGCGGTAGCCAGGAGACAAGAAAGATTATCACCATTGCGATCAACATGCGATTGGTGCGTCTTTTGCGTTCGCGGTCAGCTTCTTCTTTCTTACTACTCTTACAACCTGGCTTACTTTTGGCACGGTCGTTGAGTTTCATTGACACACAAATATAGCAGTAAGCAATGAAGAAGAACGGCATCACGAATTGTAGAAATGTAGTGATGCCAGCATAAATCTGTCGGTAGTTATCATCCGGCCATTTTTCCTCGCAGTAATATTTGATGTCTGTTTCATTGATGGTAGTGTTACTGGAGTGGTATATCATATTGATGCCATAAGGGACAGTGACCAGAATCGAAAATATCCATATGCTGACGATGATGATGATGCACGTCGAGACCTTCATGCGTGGTTGAAAGGGGTAGATGATCACAAAGTATCTGTCTATGGCAATCGAAGTGAGGGTTAAGGTCGAAATGTAGACGCTGATGCCTTGAGCCACTGGGACGAGATGACATATCGCACTTCCGAAAAGCCATTTGCCGTGGAACGTATAGAGCGGCGTGAACGGGACGGCAAGCACGCACAGCAGTATGTCGGATAGAGCCAAATTCGTTATGAACAAGTTCGTCACAGTTTGCATGGCTTTGTTGCGAAGTACCACGTAGCAAACTAGCACGTTGCCAAAGATACCAAGCACAAAGATCAGAGTGTACATTATATAAAACACCGACTGCACGACGTTATTATCGATGATGTCCTCCATCGCCGTGCTGTTCTCGAACTGGTCGTTGCCGTCTTCCATGTTTATCACTTCCGAGGTGCAATTACAACGAGTCTACAAGTCTACAATAGTTTAAATCGAATGTTTCGTTTTATTACGCTCGATGCACTTGATTTGAATGGCAGCAGGAACGTGTCCATTGCTAAATTACAGCTAGAAATAGATTTGACACTTTCATTAGAGGGCATTGTTTTAAGACGCTTTAAGCTCCATGTGCACGTCTTAAACACGATGTTGGGTTTAAAACGTACAGATTTCGTTTGCACATGTAATAAATTTCAAACCTAATAACATCAAGAAAATCACGGACATGTAATAAATGTGTATCACGTTCCTGTAATACAATCATTGTTTGGGAGGAATTAGTGGATGTCTTTGGGGGAAAGAAGGTAAAGCAGTACAAATCGCTCGTTCAGTTAATGTATTAGACCTTCGAGAAATATCATTAGCTTAACAAACAATTTGCCATTTCACGTGCAGGTGCATTGGTATTTTTCAAATAAAGCAAATTACATTTCTTCTTCTTCTTCTTCTTCTTCTTTTGTAGGCATATTGCCTGTTCCTACTTCAGACAGGGTTTAGGTGGTCGCTCCATCTCTTTCGGGGTCTTCCCAGGGATCGCTTTCCCTTGGCGATTTGTCCCTGGCTATTCGGACTATTCTGGTTTCGTCCATCCGTTCTATGTGTTCGTTCCACTCGATTTTGCGTCTTTTGCACCATTGTGTTATGTCTTCTATGTTGTTGCACGCTCTTCTGATGTCTTCGTTCTTTATCCGGTCGAGCAGTGTTTTGCCATCTATGTTTCTTAGTGTCCTCATTTCCGCGGTGGTGAGCAATCTCTGTGTGGTTGTCGTCTCTGCTACTATTACTGCCGAGTATGTAAATATGGGCCTGACTACTGCCTTGTAGATGGAAACTTTCGTCTCTGTTCTTAGATGTTTGTTGTCCCAAATCGTGTTCCTTAGGCATCCTGCTATTCTCAGGCCCTTTTCAACTTGCTCTGCTACTTCTTTTTCCACTCCTCCACTGCTGGATATGTTTATACCAAGATATCGGAACTCGCTCACTTGTTGTACGATTTGTCCATCGACTTCAAGTTTGCATCTTATTGGATGTGGTGCGATGACCATGCATTTGGTTTTTTCTGTTGCTATCTCCATGTTGAGGGCTTTGCTGGCAATGTTAAACTGGTGAATCATGCGTTGTAGGTTGTCTTCGCTATCGGAAATTAGCACGGCATCGTCCGCGTAGCACACAACTTTCAGCTCTTTCCCCCCCATCTGGTATCCTTTACAGCGTCGGACTCTTGCAATTATCTCTTCCATGATGAAGTTGAATAGCAGGGGGCTTAGGGAATCGCCTTGTCTTACCCCTGTTCCTACTTTTATGGGGTCTGTGCGTTGTTCGGCTATTGCTAGTTGCAGTTCGTTGTTGTTGTAGATGTCCCTTATAGTATTGATGATATCAGATGCGATGTTTCTTTTCGGAGTATGCTGGTTATGTCTTGGAGCTGCACTCTGTCAAACGCTTTCCTTAGGTCCACGAAGGAAAGAAAAGCCGGTTTGTTCCACTCCACGGCTTTTTCCTTCACCTGTCTTATTATGAATATTGCGTCGTTACAGGACCTTCCTTTCCTGAAGCCCTGTTGTTCGTCTGATAGTGTGGTGTGTGCTAATATCTTGTTCGCTAGTAATCGAGTTGTTAGTTTCAGGGTGGTGTTTAGCAGAGCTATTCCTCGATAGTTGGATGGTTCTTGCTTATCTCCTTTCTTAAACATCATTATTAGTGTGCTCAATTTCCATTCAGTTGGTACTCTCTGATGCTTCAGGATGATGTTGATAAGTTTCGTAATTTCGGCCGCGAGCACTTCTTCGCCGTATTTCAGGAGGTCATTGGGTATTCCGTCCGGGCCACTGGCTTTTCTGTTTCTGAGTTTAGCGAGTTCTGTTTCCACCTCAGATATGCTTACTATGGTTGGTTCATCAGGTTGTATGTTGACTGAGATATTAGGTTTCTCCTGGTTTGTGTCCCGGTATAGATGTTTGATGTAGTTTATCCAGGTCTCTTTGTCTATTCCCTTTGCTTGTACCAGTTCTGTGAGCTCTTTTCTCTGGTTTCTTATGGTCTTCCATACTGTCTTTTGGGTTCCATAGAAGTCATGTTCTAGTTGTTTTGAGAAGATCCTCCAGTGTTCGGATTTCGTCTTCCGTACTAACTCGTGCGTTTCTCTGCGGATTTGTTTGTAACTTTCGTATGATTCTTGCGTTCTTTGCGTGAGGTGTTGAATGTGTGCCTGCTTTTTTTCCTTGCATTTCATTTTGATTTCCTCGGTGAACCATGGAGTTCTCTTAGCAAAAGGATTCGGTTTCTTGATGATCTTCCTGCCTAGCGCTTCTTCGGCAGCCTGTTGTATGTTGCTTTTCAGCCTTTCCCATGCCGTATCAACGTTATCTCCTTCTTGTATGTTGTTGTTTGTAACTTTCTCCTTCAGTCTGTTAGCATATAGTTCTCTGGTTGTTTGGTCAGCTAGTCCTTCTGTTTTATTTTTGTGCGCTCTTCGCATGTTTTTGCTTGTTTCTTTTGGAGGGATATTAGTCTCAGCTTCCCAATCACGAGGGCATGATCGCTTCCTATGTCTGCCGAGGTTAAGCTTCTTACATCTAATATGCTGGTTGGTGGAATTACTCGGTTTGTCACAATGAAGTCGATTGTTGATGTGTGTCCCCTTGAGTTACAATACGTGTGTTTGTGTTGTTGTTTGTGTTCGTAATATGTGTTATTTATTCGTAGTTCGTTGATTGTGCATAGGTTAGTCATCAGCGTTCCATTTTCGTTTTCTGTTTCCTCGTTGAATCTCTGCTTAACTCCGGGTATGATTCAAATTACATTTAATTAAAACAAATAACAGTAACACAATCGGGACTGCAAAGAGTTAGGGGGAAAGTCGAGTAAGATGACGGCCCGAACAGAAAAAAACATAACCTAATCTGATGAGATCAGAAATTAGCAAGTATAACCTAAAATTTTAAATTTTTCAAGGATCTATAGGGGGTTATCTGATAATATGGGATTGGTAAATTTGCGTCGCGTTATGGCAAAGATATTTTATTCGTCATCTTACACGACTCTCCTTTAAACTTATAATAGAAGTAAAAATAAAAATTTGAATTTGAAATCAAATTGCCATTTGGATAAAGAAGATAAATATAGAAAATCCTGATTATAATGATCATAATAAGTCTTCAATGTTGAATATCCTTACCACAACTCGAGTGAGGCCGTGAGGCGTGGGAATGAGGATGACGGAAGTGTTACAAGTGTTCGTTTCGTTGTTGTTTGCGAGTAGACGCGATTTTGGAGAATGAGCGCGGCCCGACTCCGCGAATAATTTGTTGGCAATTTACAAGTCGTACTCCTGGATATGATGCGGTATTCGTTCGGCGATGGGCTCGCGCGGCTCGAGCTGTTTCGCGGGTGACGTGAACACGCTCGAATGCAATAACGTATCAAGCGTGTGTTCGTCCGGATTGCAATAACGATTCGAGCTGTTGCCGAGTGCGCACGGCAGCACTTGTTTGAACTCCTTGCGAAAGTTTTCGTTTAGCCATGCATAGAGAAACGGATTATAGCATGTGGATGATAGCGCCATGCAGTGTGTGAGAAAGAATAGCAAATGGAAAATTGATCCCAGATCGACAACGTCGTTGATGAGGTTGATTAAGTTCAGCGGGAACCAGCAGATTCCGAAGATCGTTACCATCGCAATCAACATTCGATTTGTCCGACGTTTCATTTCACGATCCGCTTCCTCACGACGGGCGCTTTTAGATCCCGGCTTCGATTTTGCCCTTTGATTCAATCGCTTCGATATGCGCCAGTAGCAGTAGGCGATTATACAGAACGGAATCACGAATTGCATCAGCAGTGTGAAAATGCCGAACGCCACTTCAAAGTATTGTATGCTCCAGTTTTCCTCACACACTTCTTTGCCGTTGTGGCTCTCGACTTTCATGCAGATACCGTACGGCAGCGTAATCAACATCGAGAACCACCAGATACCCAAGAGAATACCGAAGCAAGTCGTCAACTTCATCCGCTGTCTTAGGGGATGCAAGATGACGAAAAATCGATCGATTGCGATTGCGGACAGAGTTAATGTAGATACGTACACGCTGGTCGCCTGCGCGTACGGCACCAGGTGACAAATCAGCTGACCGAATATCCAGCGGTCCAGGAATGTGTACAGTGGTGTGAATGGCACCGCGAGTATGCAAAGCAGGATGTCGGAGAGGGCCAAGTTCGTTATGAACAGATTCGTCACCGTCTGCATCGCGCGGTTCGTGTAAACTATGTAACAGACGAGCATGTTGCCCAAGAGACCCAACAGGAATATTGCTGCGTAGAGCATGTAGAATATTATCTGCACCGACAAGTGCTTCATAATGTCATCCTCGGTATTCGCGTCTGCCATCGTGTCGTTCATCGTCGTTGGCATTTTCAATAGTTTACTTAGGTCTCGTCGTATGGCGGCTTACACTAACCGCTTGACTCGACTAACTTCAATCTCGTTGTTGATTCTTTGCTGCAGAGACTTGCTCAACAATGGCATGGAAATGAATTTCACTCACTATTTTTCATTGTCATTGGGTTACATTCGTTGTTGTATGTGAATTGATAAATCTCTATACGTCGAACATCAAAATCTGTAACAAAAATAACATTGGGATTAGTTTATAATGAGCTCACTCAGCAAATATTTTAATCATAATAAGTGATGTTAAAGTATCAATTGCCAAATTGCTCCCGAAAACACAACCCTCGGGGGTGCAACCTGTTGCTGGTCATACATTACATAAATGTCAATATTTTGCGTCAGTCAACGCCGGAGAAAAATCGTTTGTCAACTCATCCAGGACTTTATAAAAGATAGTGTTTAATAATTAATTGTAACACATGCAGCGTGAATCATTAATTATTTTCCGTCCACCCAATCCGCAATCTGAGAGGACGGTGTGGTATCAGTTGACGTCAACGCGGCAGCAAATTTCACAAAGAGGCAAAAACCGTTTTAGTATAAATTGATGCAACAAAACGAGTGAATTTCACTTTGCTTCCATTTCACAATGTCAAATTATTTTCAATTTAAAGGAAACATTTGTAAAGATTAATTAAAGTTTGAGTTACAGAATAAAGGCGTTGATTACTAAATTTTCTAAGTAAAAGGTAGAACAGTTTTAAATTTGGGCAATTATGCATTTTTTCAACTATCAAAAATGGTAAAAATGTGCATAATTTATTTAAATTGACACTAGTAAATAGTAGACATGCTAAAAAGACTGCTGGAATAATATGAGCATTAAAATTGAATTTAGTTCTTGTTTTTAGACCAAAAAATTGAATTTTTCAATTACTTCCTTGTTTGCAAAGATGACAAAACAAGCACGGAAAGGTAAATTACCTGATTTTCAAAATAATACGATGGGATACGTGGGTATTGCCAAATATGTGTTTATTTATTTATTCAAGGCACCGTGTTTGCATATAAACACGGTGATTCGAAAATACTGTTTGAAAGCAGCCGTGGATATAGCTAACCATCCACACCAATTGCTCAACTAAGCGGTTCGCATCGGTTCAAACCGAGGTCTTCGTAACAGGATATTTAATTAGGACAAAACGTAAACGTATGGTGTTAATTAACAATAGTAAATAAATGTCCTTCAGCGGTAGATTTCAATCAACTGTAGTGCCATTTCTGCTGACGTGTGCTCTTTACTTTAAGCGTTTGTGTACTTAACTCAATCCTCTATTTTATATCAGGTTATACAATAATGCGTCAGAGGTGCATCTCCGCATCAGACGCAGTGCGCTCCAGCGCACAACAAAACATAGGGTTGTATTCATTCCTGGAATAAATTAATTCACATACACTAATTGCATTTAGCGATTAAGAGCGCCCTGTTTTGGCAAAAGTGACTTTCAAATTTGAAAGTGCTTTTCCGTATGCATCTAAATGAATAGAATTGTTTGCTTTTTAATCAACTTCAAAATATTTATTATCTAAAAGAAACAAATTTTATTTTGGTAGCAAGACACACAAAATGCATGGTTGCAGTAGCAGTAGCAGTGGCACATGATATAAAAGAACACTTGAAATTCGATTTTGTAAGTACTCTCGTTGAATATACACGCTCAGCATTGCTTTTTGACGTTTCTACCCAACATTTTACTTCATAATATTTTCACTGCTTGTCTGAGATATTCTGTTCGTCGATCGATAGATATTTTACAAGGTGCGAACTACGAACGGAAAAGTTTGCCAGCGTTTTTCGATGGCGACGTAAATCGGATAATCAGATAATAGTCTAAAAGCACTGTATAAGTAAGATAATACGTAAAGTTTTATGCTTTTGTCTTACGTGTCGAACGCTATTTACAAAGTGCGGACTTTTTTATGATCCACTTGAAAATTTCATGTTTTATTGTTTTATTCTGCTTGGAACTTTTCACAAAAGTTCTGTTCCATATTTTGCGATGATTTATCACATTTTAATTTAAATGTAGAACATGAAAACTTGCAAAACTGAAAGTCAAACGTAATTATACAGAACTGACGAATCAATTCAATGGAAATATCATCGTTTAGTAAGTAATGCAAATACTCTTCACTGTCAAACCGCAAACAACCACGCAACGTCAAGGGAGGATTACATTTTCGAATGAGAAACCAGGGTTTGTTTCCAAGAAAAGCATTGTTAGTGAAGTTGTCGTTTAACGTTGGTAGTTGGTTTGCTTAACCGACAAGTTCAAATCACGTATTTATTGGAAGCGTGGTCTAGTTCGGCAAATATTTATGTTGCGCATGATTTAACAAGGACGCCATTATTGTTTCCATAATTTAATTTGTTCTAAGCTTAGGATTAATCTGCAATATTCTAACTAGTTTAAATCTTGCATATTGAATAACACCGATGAATATACTTCATGTTGATGTTCTTATTTGTTATTTGTTTCGCGTACAAACTCAAAACACTTCGGTAAACTTTCCGATACAATGAATGCGGCTAAGATATATCGTATGTTATAACATCATTATATTTTGCTTTAATGATTGAAACTTAAGATGAAACTCTGAAGCAATATTAACTTACAAAAATTAATTAGTGTGCGTTAATTTGCAGCGGAAGACATTTTAGCTATATTTTTTATTTGAAAATAAAGCTTGGAAAATAGATTTTGCGTGCTTATCAAAGTATTTGCAATAAGCTGGACTCAATAAGCTTCTTAAAACTGGGGAACTATTATTTTTTGTTGTTGTTGTTATTGTTGTTGCAGTTGAACCTGAATTGTTTGCAATATTTCAAAGGATTATGTTAACAATAGAAAGTTTGAAACTTTTATACAATTCACGCAAGGTTTATTTATTTTTACTTTATTGTTTGCGATAAAATGACATATAATCGATATAGGAAATCGGGTGGAGTTTGTCTGGTAGTATAAACTTCAAAACTAACCTCAAGAGTGTGCACTTCCATTTTTAATCGTATTGTTTTTTTGAATTTTTTTTATACCAAAAATGACTTCGTGTAACTTAGAAATTGCTGCCGTATTTTTTATTTAATTTTATTTGCAACTTTTCCAATATGTAGGTATTGTGCTTGGAATTCTTTTTACTTATTTTATTGACATTCCTTTTTCATTTGTTAACGCATCCGTTGCAATAAATTCGCTGCAAATTGTATTACAATTGTGAAAAATACCTTACAATTAATTGAAGTAACGTTCGTCGGATTCTTTTAATTCAATTCAATTTCACGTATGTGTGTGTGAAGTGCAGCAAATTCAAACTATCCGTAGTCCTTACAATTTGTAATGGCCACTTGGTCATTGAATTGAGTTGCTTTCTCTCGAGGATCCATACCAGTTTTTTATTCAAAAAAAGAATTGAACACGTATTTCCATTCCGATGTTTTTCCAATTGCAGAATGCTATTATTATAAGCGAATAGGAACAATGTGTAAGAGTAATTATTCTATGCATTAAAAATACTTGATTTTTGTGTTTTATTTGTTGGAATTATCATTGTCACAAAAGAAAACTATTGCAGCCAGTTTAAAATGAGATTGTATTTAAATCAAATCATTATGCACTTCAGCATTAAATTTATAGCTCACTTCAGTTATTAATTTTATTGATTGTAAATTTACCTCGGTTTCGTTAACTAAAATTACTTGTTAATTGTCACCCACTGCAATTTTTCCATTGGTACTTCCGTCATCAACTGAGTAAATCACATTTCTCTAATAATACTCCCGACCAATGCGTGTGCATTCATTATAATTACATTTATTGCCAATGAATAGACGTAACAACATTGTTCAATTGGCACGTGAGATACGAATCACGTGTCGGGCGCCTCCGCCGACACGCAGAGACGCAATTCAACCCGCGGGCGTACTGAGTTTTAATCGTTCGAGTGGACTTAACATATCTCAGCGTCTTTCAGTGCTGCCGATGACGACATTCAATTCATGTTTAGATGTGTATTCAACCGCTGAATTAATTTTCCATGACAGCCGCAGACATTTTGTGACGAGTTTCAAGGATGTTGTTATTGCAATTATATTATTATTTGTGTGTATTTCCTATTAGCGTCGTGCGGCCAGCAACTTCGAACTCACTTCGCCACCTTCTGACATTTACCTGAATATGTGTATTGTGTATGTAAGCTAAGTTTACGGCCACTCTATCCGCCCGAGAATAATCTTATAATGGAGAATGTATTTTGCGCCATTCGAAAATAAGTTATTGTTGGGAGGAATGTTTAAATGAAAAAAGCTTGTTCCTTTGTTCAGTAATTTCCACCAGCAGTTGTTTCTGACAGGGGAAAGAAATTATTTTCTTTTCTTCTCAGTTGAAACATTAAAATAGACATATTTATTGACCAGCTGAAAGTTTTTAAAAATAATCCCCGATGCATTCCGATTGGGTGAGTTTAAAAGTGAACAAACACACATGAAAATGTTTAGAACTTCCACTAACTTCTGGATGGTGGTTAAACAAAACCGCTATTTCTTAAACAAATATTTAAAGGTGAATTCAACTCGGTCAATAAAGCACCACATGATTGAACTTTTATATTGAACTAGTTCGCTTGCAGTTGGAGAAATTTCTTGTCGAAACTCTATCGATGTCAATCGCAGCAAAAACTATTGCATATTTCCCAGAATGTCTAAAAATTGTTTACGTAATATTCAATTTTCTATTTAAAATAATAGTAGCTACATATCAATGTCTATAATGTTGTGCTCGTAATATCAAGTTTTCGGGATAAAGCAATACATTTTCGTTGATGTAGGGTCAAATTCATGATTGCCACTCAAATATGTAATACAAGGGTAGTTTAATGATACAAATGTTTGGGTTGTTGCTTGTTGGATCCGGCCCTCGATTAATAATACGATGATCCTAATAATTCATATTAGATATTCGGATATTACTGAAAATACTAACAGTGCTATGTTGTCATGATCAGATTGATGATTAATATTGGCAAATGTTAATAATAATTTTCTTATTTTAAATTTTCTTGGGGACTGAAAAATTGAATCTTAGAAATGTTTGCTGCACAACAATTGGTATTGTGTGATAAAATTGGTTTTAGATTAACATTTTAACGAATAAAAAACGCTTGCTTTGTGAAATAACGTGTCAAATTTCCGGGTTTTACGCAAGTAAGATGTCAAAATACATGAGAATTAAGATTTTGACGCAATAATTCTATGTGTTAAGTAATTAACACAATATTAAGATTGTTTTCAAGCACCTACGTGAAAGAAATTATTATTATTAAGCGTAATGGAAAACAAAAGTGTTTAAAACTTTATAAATGCATAGATTTCTTTTAATTAAAAATATGAAATATTTTTCAAATCCTCTTGGTAATTTATTCTATAAATATTTTTCATAACTTCACAAAAAATCTGAATACAGTTGAATCAATGTTTCGTTATTCAAACTTTGAATACACGTAATGAAACATTTAATGTAAAAGTACATTCTTCTTTATTCCCTTTATTATTTCTTTTTTATTAAAACAAAAGTAAAAATTGCATAAATTACTTTGAAGTCTAAATTGCTTGATAAATAATATTCCTATAAACCCGCCTGACCCATGCGAAAAATTCTGCACCATAAAACGAATATTGCAGCGGCGGCTTTCCAGCATATATAAAAAATATAATTTATGACATTATATATAATAAAAAATTTGAAGCCACATAAAAACTAAATTCACTACTCAACTTTTTTCATTCACAAAGTTCCTTATTTACATTCTGCAAACTTATTACAAAGTTTTTACGCTGTTGTAGCACTGTACCCTTGTGGATTTTTGTTTGAAATTTTGGCGAAGTGCGCGGCAATTACAGTTTATCAAATTACAGCGCGGATAGTTGATTCTCAGTGCAACAAGGTTAAATAAGTTCATTTCACGGCGACAAAACAAGGGTGAAAAACGCGTGTGTTGCCGGAATGTACGTGTACATTCCATTTCCTAGCGCATGATGAAATGTGACGTGCAAAAATTTGTCACGCTCATCCCCCAACTGGGTGAGACCAAAATCGACTTTGTTCTGCTTGTACTTTCGCTTACATTTCTGTTTTATGAACAAAATTGGAAATCGCTAAATTTGTGGATTTTATTCATATTCAAACAAATCACATTCGTTGTATTTTAAGTTTCATAAGAAAATAATAATCCTTAGCAATTTATTCTTATTCACCACAAGTCAATACTTTTTTAATTTTGAGCAATTTACAGCGCACCCAGCGTATCTAATTGTTTCGTAAAAAATCCCCGCCTGCAGATGCAGTACTCGCACAGAAAGATTTTATGATTCGACGCGCGGTTACACCCGCATTTTGACGACATAAAAAATAAACGAAGCATTAGCGCGTTTGCACAAAGTGAAATATGTGCAAGTTTGTTGGGGAGATAAATTTTATGGAACGATAAATTTTCATTTGAAACGATGTCGTCCGGCGGACACGGTGATTTTGTGTGCATCGAGATGAAACACTTTTGGGAGTGTCTACATTTATAACCTGTGGGCAACGTTGACGCGTAATTTGCACTGTAAGACATCAAGCATCCAGTAACCAATAAACAGCGAAAGTTCAACAACGACTGTTGGTTGTAAAGAATATTAGTTGTAAGGAGGTTGCGTGAAGTTATAGCTTCAAAGTGCGCGCTTTTATTCATAATTCTTGGCTTTGAAAGTTGAAGAAAAATGAGTACTGCGCAGTAACTCGTAACAGTTTTATTTCAGGAACTTTAATTCATGATTTTTATTATACGTAATATTTAATTTATTAAATCATATTTAACGAATAGAGAAACATTCCTCGCGATGCAGACAAAAGTAAATGTTTATGTTTTTTTAATAAATTGCGCGAAACTTCTTCCGTTAAAAGATTTATTCATTAATAAAAAGATTTTCTATTGAATCGTATTTCGTGATATAATTTTAATAAAAAAGTGATTAAAACTTGACAAAATGTGATTCTGAATTCTGAAAATAATTAAATTTTCGAAAAATCAACCTTGTTTTAAGTTGAATTCGCACAGAATTGCAATCTCTACAAGAAAATTCAAAGAATTTGTGTATAAAACAGACATAAATGCGAAATACAATGTATAACTCGAATTCAAGACACTTTTCTAAGAATTACATTTTCAGAATTTTATTCCCACACACGCGTATGTTTTTCGACATACGCAACGCTAAAGTTCTATTATGCACATACCTTTTCAATCTGTTTCAATCTCTGCAACGTTTCAATTCTTTCAGCAATGTATTTGACCCGTACATTGCGAATCATAAGCTGCAAGCAAGCGGCGCATGAATCGAAAACACCCGAATAAGTTCATTCCGCAGCTGGCACACAAATGAAAAACGTAAGCTCCAACTCTTCGACTACCGTATTAGCTCAAAATGTTAAATTAAAACAATCTTTTTGTTTACGTGCCTTATAGAAGCGCAGGCATCTGAAATAGAATTTTGAAGCCAGCTGAGCCCGCATATATTTAGCCTACATAAATAAAATAATACCGCGCACCGCCGTCTTCCTTCTCAAAAACGAGTATGTTCATAGTGTGCACATACTTTTGTAGCCGCCTTGACAAGCCGTATGAAAATATTGCATGAATCTTTCGGTTTTTCTTTCATAGTAAAGTTACATGCAAGCACATACACTTGTTTGTACATCGAATTCTGAAGGCTGCCAGATGAACATTTCAATTTTCGGAAATCCCATAACTTATTTGAACTCGCCGCCCCGACAACATTTTTATTTGCGAAACAAAACCCTGACAAAAAATTACGAATATATGCGCGACGAATAAAACATTCGCTTGTTTGCGGGCGGAACAATTTATGAATTATGTACACCATAAATATTACAAACTAAAATATTTATACTGCGTATAAATCTATGAAAGTTTGACAGCTTATTATCTACTTTTTGAAAATTTTTAGATTAGATACAATTTGCTAACTTTTTATAGATTTACGTCAATTAGTACATAAAACTGTTTTCTGTTAATGGAAAATCGACAAAATGAGGTAATTCCGAGAACATATTTGGCTTTTTATTAATTACTCAAATATCAATCTAATTATTTTAATGGTTTCTCAGTAAATCTCTTATCAATTAAAATATTTTTCAGTGTATGTATAGACTTTATTGATACTGATATTTTATGAAAAGAAACAAAAGAGTTAGAAACATTTTCCAAGGTTTTTTTGTAAATCTAATTTTAATTGTTAATCATTTTTTAGGTAGTAATCTGATAAATAAAAGCTTATTGTTGTGAATTGTGGAATGTAATTCTGAATCGAGTGCTTCGAAAGTTTTAACTTTATCTTAAATATTTTGAAAGTTATTTTAAAATTTCTGAACTTCTCTCTTCGATCAGTAAAAATAATACTACACTTCTTCTTCTATAAAACTTTAAATGAACAAAATACAGATGTTATTTTTGTAGGACATAATTTGATTTTACCGGTAGTGGAGGTGCTGACACAAAATCAATAAATTTAATTTCATATAATTACTATGGGAGCTTTGCAAGTAAAATTAATATGAATTAAAATTTACAATTATATTAACCAGCACCTACAATACAAGTCGAAACAAAAAGAAAGTCAAACTTTAATTTTTCCTCTAGGTGGATGACATTTTTATAAAGATATAATTGAATTGTAAAGTCTGAAACTTGGTTGGACTTTCAAAAAAGCAACGTAAACCGTCCGACAGTGCTAAATGGCACCCTCGAGATCAAATCCGAAATGATTATTTATAACGCGCTAAAATTCCCACAAAACTTCCTAATGAGTTAGCAAATTAGACGGAAATGTGCACTCGACGTTCACGCAAAATATGATTGAAATGTTTGTCATTCTTGTGTGATTTAATTAACTAGTTTTGCATAAAATAATTGCCTCCAAATTCCAAATTAATTTTAGGAATAGACATACACGTCGGATTTGATTGATTTGCGCGCTTGTCGTATCACTAAACCGAACACTACACAAACACTTAAACGACAATAATAATTACCAATTGTTGGTTATAAAGTACTTCCATTCAATCACTCGTTGGCTGGCCGTTGTCGATGGGTGCAATGTGATAAGGCGTCTGATTGTATCACACACAGAAGAATATATATAAAAACAAAAAGCGCGCAGTCCGTATTAGTGCAGCATGAAGTGTAAATGTTAGGCCTCGATACCAGACGCATGTCAGTTTTGGGATGTGAGTGTGTGTGTGCAAGCAATGTTTGAAGTGGATAATGAAAACTGGCTTGTCTGTTAAGCTTTTTGAATTGTTTATATAATGATTGGCGATTCAATCGAAAATGATGCGCACAATGTGGAACAGAAAATTGTATAAATTTGATAAAAATAGAACGGTGAGAAGCTAAGAAATTAGGTTTGAAATTTAGTAAATATTAACATAATTCGCAAATTGACTCGATTTTTTTAAACGTTTTATTTTTAAACTCGTGTAACGTTATTAATTTTTCTTGGCGTGACTTTGGTCTGATCTGAAAAATATTAGCGTACTTGTTCGAAATAGTCGGTTAGAGCTACAGCGGCGTGAGGACGCAAAATATATCGAACAGATCGCGAGAGCGGATGCTCAGCTCGACTGCTGCGGCGTAACTAAGGTTCGCAGCGCGCCAGCCTCCGCCGTTATAGTCCGCCGAAAACGGCACGAGGGGAATTTATCCGCGACTCCCGTCGCTGCCGCCACCGCCGCTGCCGTCGCCGCCGGCGCGCTCGCGATCTTCCTCTCCTAACTCAATAAAGCGCAACACTAACGAATGAAACGTAAGCCCACCGCCGCCGCCGACCGGTGTGCGTTGTGTGTTACGCTGGGTGTCGACCGTTCGAATGGGTATTTGTTTGCTGCCGGTGTGCTGCGCTCGACGAGGGCGGCGTTGCTTTTTTGCGAGCGACGATCATCCAAAGCAGTTTCCACGCGCAATTAAGAGCCTCAACGCATGCATGCGCTGCCGCCCCACCACGCGCGACCGCACGCTTTACCACCCTCGCCGTCATCAACAAGTTACCTGTCGAAACTTTAAAATGTGCGCTGATTCAAAGGTCGCTGATTATTTTTCAGAACACAATTGTTTTATTCTCTGCTACGGCGATGGTTATTGCTTACCAGACGGGTTTTTGCACGCTTTAAAAAACGGTTATAATTTAATTACCAGCTAACAAATTAATTTATGCTATATTGTGGCCTGAATGAAGCAGAAAGCGTGTTTAGAAATGCCCACACGTAATTTGTTTCGTGTAACGTTGCGTTGCACATGTTTGGTGTCTTATTATCACCTCTCTGGTAAATATGTATTCGTAATTTTTATTTCATAAGTTTAGAGTAAATATTTTGCGGTGGCATAAAGTGCACGATTAAACGCATTTATTTAGAGTTATGAACGAATATAAAACGTAAATTTATTTTATTTCCCACTTTTGCGAACTCCTACTTGTCAGATAAAATTGTCCTCAAGTTGTTGAAAAACATGCATATCCCTGTGCTCATAAATATTTAAGAAAATGTCACCACTATATTATTCAATAGAAGTTGGTGGTAAAAAAATGCAGATGAGCGATGAGATGTACCTAAGTTGATGTGCGTTTTTCACGTAGGCTTTTGTTATATTTTTAACACAGATATAAGAAAAACTTCAAAAAAGTTTACGTTTTTTGATGTTTTAAAAAATAGACCTGGATAATTTAGTGAGTAATAAAACACATAGGTGAACTTTTAAATATAAACAAAGGTTTATTTAACATTTGAAGTATTTTAAACATTTTTAAATTATATTTTTAAGATATTACACGCCAACGATGAGATAATATTGTGAAACAATCTTGCTTCTTCAAGTAGAGCATCATTCGATTTTTGCTTCGAATTTAGATCCAAAAATAGATTAAGTTTCTGATTTACATACAACTTTTTCTTAAAGTCAACATGTTATCCAGTCAATTTTACCAACTAATTTCTTTTCCAGTCAAAGTAAATTTAGTTTTTTGCTATCGGCATAAAATCGCAACTTCTAGATTTTATATTTCACAGTCTAAACATATAATAAAATATGCAGCGTATCTTTTTCATGTCATATTATTTAATATTATCATTACTTTGATTTTATTATACCCACAAAATCTTTAAAGCGTTTTAGGCATATTTACAATAATACAATACAATTAGATAGAGGATATGTGAATTGTTTGTTGTCCATGACGTCAAAATGGTGTCCTCTTGGTATAGACACGTGGACACAGTTATATATAGTTTGAACTATGAAACAATGCCTGAATTCTGCTTAATACTACACAACGAAGTATTGTGTAAGCTTGTCATAAATGTAAAGATTTCGAATATTAAATTAGTTTCTTGTCCACTTTCTGGACTAGATTTGACTTAAGGTATTGAGATCTAAAACTGTACAATAGCAGCATTAAAAGTTTAATGATTACCTTGTCATTTCGAGGTTTATCTAAGTTTAGACAAAGGGAGACCTCCTAGGATTAAGTGTAATTATGAATTTAGGTAGTCTAGCCCCCCCTTTGAGGTTAGATCACAAGAGCAAATATGAAAACTAGTTAACATAACCTGCAAACCTATATAAAAATTACCTGTTTTATATAATATTAAAATTAAAATTGCATTTAATACAAATATAATTAGTTTTAGTATGTAGGTATTTAAACATTTTTTACCTAGAACTTCATAATGAAGTACAGAAATTGAACATTTAAAAAACAATTTATTGCCAATACATGCAAATTCCGTAATATAGAGTAATTTATTGACTAAAGGTTATTTTTATATTAGTTAATTTTATTAAATGTGTTCGTACTATTAAATTTGCAATTTAAAATGAATTTGCATATAAAGTATAGGGAGTAATATGTGCGCATACAAATATTCCCAACAGTGAATAAATGTTGCTGCACAGAATCTAGAAGCGTTAAAACTGACATGAAATTTACAATTTTCCAGTATGAGTTCCATGTTGTATTCATAAACAACGAAGACGCGTCTGCACAATTTCTAATTTTAATTCACATAGCGCTTTGTTTACACTTGATGCTCAAACATTACCAGAAGTAATTTATCAATTTCTTGGCATTTTATACACACAAAAAATAAAACGAATAGAAAACTGTTTGCTTGCATACTTTTGTAAATATTAAATCATTGTATTGCAGAGAATGCAATAACTGTGAATAAAACATCAAAAGTGTTAATTAGCAGTTATTCCAAGGTACTGTACACACTACAGGGTAGTGTATATTTAAGGATATAATATTTTTATTGTGCCACCTTTGTCTATAACCTAGATATGAGAGACCGAAATATTATGCGTACATGTGCAGAAAAGGATTACACACATTTTTTTGACGTTGATAAATTGCTATAGATGCTAAGTATTGTGTTCGAGCTAGCCGAACGGGGATAAGCATGAATCCTGCCGCAGGACTTTGAATGTGTGCGTGAATATCATTTCTAGCCTGCGGAATTGTGTGCGAGACGTGAATCGGGATGTTTGCCTGAAAATGATGTTCTTGATAATTGTAATATCGTTTGCCTACCCTACCGAAAGTTTTATTACGATCCTAAATGGATATTCACATAAGTTTTTTAAGTAACATTTAGGTTGACGTGATAACGATCACATCAATATGAAATATCATTCAAACGAATCGAGTCGATAAATGCGTCTACTAAAAATATAACTTGTAGGTTCAACGATCATTTAATCGTTATTAGAAGTTGCACAAACAAGCAATATTTTTAGTACGGCTTCACACAAAACGAAATTGGACAAGATTTTAGACGCATTAAATTAAATTATTTTAAATTTCCAATCACAGTCAATCTTATAGAGAATAGTCCGTAGATTAAGACGCTGCGATGCGATCCTTATTATCTCTTTTAGTTTACGAGATATTCGCGATTGAAGAAAATGGGCAAAAATTGAAAAATGTCACTTTTTAGCACTTTTAGTCAGGTTTTTTGACCTTTTACTATTGGACATATTATTATTGTATATTTTTGTCTGAAAGAGAATTTTCCAATCTTTCATAATCAGTAATTCGTTGGTAGCTATCGCTTTTAGTTTATGACATATTAATTATCAAAAATCGTCGAAAAAAAGTATCAAGCACCCCCCCTTGGTCATTTTTTTCTTAAGAGTACAAATTTTATCTCTCAGATTTCCCTTTTAACTATCGTATCTGATAGAGATTGGTCCGTACATTAAGACGCTGCGATCAGATCTTAATTATCTCTTTTAGTTTACGAGATATTCGCGTTTGAATAAAATGGGCAAAAATTGAAAAATGTCACTTTTTAGCACTTTTACTCGCGTTTTTCGACCTTTTACTGTAGGAAATATAATTATTTTATATTTTTATCTGATACAGAATTTTCCAATCTATCATAATCAGTAATGTGTTGGTTGCTGTGGCTTTTAGTTTAAGAGATATGAATTTTCAAAAATCGTCGAAAAAAAGTATCAAGCACCCCCCCTTGGTCATTTTTTTCTTAAGAGTAAAAATTTTATCTCTCAGATTTCCCTTTTAACTATCGTATCTGATAGAGATTGGTCCGTACATTAAGACGCTGCGATCAGATCTTAATTATCTCTTTTAGTTTACGAGATATTCGCGTTTGAATAAAATGGGCAAAAATTGAAAAATGTCACTTTTTAGCACTTTTACTCGCGTTTTTCGACCTTTTACTGTAGGAAATATAATTATTTTATATTTTTATCTGATACAGAATTTTCCAATCTATCATAATCAGCAATTTGTTGGTTGCTGTGGCTTTTAGTTTAAGAGATATGAATTTTCAAAAATCGTCGAAAAAAAGTATCAAGCACCCCCCCTTGGCAATTTTTTCTTAAGAATGAAAATTTCATCTCTCAGATTTATGTTTTAACTAACCTATCTTATAGAGAATAGTTCATAGATTAAAACGCTGCGATCAGATCTTATTTATCTCTTTTAGTTTACGAGATATTTGCGATTGAAGAAAATGGGCAAAAATTGAAAAATTGCACTTTTTTCTTATAAAATAAAATTTTTAGCGAAGCAAAGGTATAAAACACAGACAAGAGGAAGTTCTGAATTGATGAATGTGAAACGTGCAAAGCTGGAACGTCAGCGAGAGGTAAGCGAAAATATATCTAGTATCTGCTGGATATATCTAAATCGTTTGCACGACAGCGACATGAGTCAAAGTCAACGATCCTGGGTTGTGACTGGGCTCTCTTCTCGTGGACCACTATTGCCGAAAGATCAATTTGTCATCGCGTCGAAGCCTCAGGTTGAACATTGACAGATGAGTCAACCACAAGCCCAAGTTCTTATAAACTTCCAACGTGCGTACGGTGATACTGCATACCTCAAATAGCCACCCCTCACAGTTCAGAGAGAGTTCATTTCGTTCGTTTGTACAAACAGCTCGTTTAGCTTTATTAGAACCATGTTTATTTAGCAACGTAAAGAAACGCATTAAAGTAAAAGCAATTTTTGTTATTTTTATCGCTTGAGAAATAGAATCTCGAAGAGAGATTGATTTAATGTGGGGCAATCTTTAGTTATTTTGTATAAACATTCAATTGGATCTAACTAGGAAGCACAAAAATTAGGATTTCAATTGCAATTTGTGATATTATTTATTTTATATCAGAATAACAAATATGATAAAATGACATTCAAGTATCTATCCTTCTTACACGCGACTTCCAGAGACTAATCTTTTATAAATACGTACATTCGTGCACATACATATGATTTTGTATTTTTGTATAATCCGTAAATTGTCGAAATATTTCTGTTTTACGTCGATCTCATGTACATCACACAGTTTATACACAGATATTATTAAATTTGAACTTTACTTCCTATTGTCCTCTATGAAAATGATTGTAAATGATACAAATTGTCATTAACAATGTTTTATACTTTACTTTTACAACAATCAACTGTATTTAATATTGATGCATTACATCATTTGAGGATCATACTACTGAACAGAAATCTATTTTCATTTCATTTCAATTACATATATGTACTTTAAATCAACCAAATTAAAAGTCGTATCTAAATCACCGATAAATTTAGAATTACGAGTTTCACTTTGGCACTCTGTTTTGTAGCACATTAATATATATATATTTATCTTTTTTTGCTTTAAACTTTAAATCAGTGTGTACAATATGTTAAATATTTTCTTATATGCACTTTAGGCCGCATAAAAGTAATATTTAATATAATAAGAAGCATACTTTAAATATTGTATGAGGAGGTTATTTGGTAGATAATAATAAATGTGTTGTTTATATAAAATACGAAAATTTAGATAAATTACATTATTTTCACTGTAGTATGATAGTATAGTGAATCACCACTCTCAAGTGATTTATATGTGTGCTCAAAAGTTGGTATTTTTTTTAAATTTTAATAAATCTTGTGCAATTGCATCGGAAATGAGCAATCAGTATCATTGAAATTTATTTTATATTAGTCAAATGAAAACGCAAAAATGCATGTATTCGTCAAACCTGATTTCCTTTGACTTGTATGTAAAACAATAGTTAATTTCAAGAAACATATTTCTTGGTAATTGAACATGCAGTGCCACCTAGCGCCCATTTTTATTTGGTGACAAAAATTCAGTCGTACGCATTCATTTAATCTGGGATACAAATATCTAAAACTATTTGGAAAATTGAGCAGCTAACATTACTTACACTTCCGTTCACTTTGTGTTTTGAATGATTAAATAATAAATCAGTTTTTAGTGATATAAAAAAACAAAAAATATAAAGTAATAATTTATGCATCAAATGATTATGTTAAAAATTGCACATTACAAAAATTCATGGATGAAGCAAAGTCTTAAAAACAGTACAATAACGTTATCCCAAAGTAATTTGTAAATATTAAGGTAAAAAAATTAGGGTAACATCAAAACATTTAGTCATATAGGATAATTGAAATATTAAGCGTAATAAGCAAGGAAGAATTAAATAAGCTCAACATAATTAGCAGGGAATAGACCGTAATTGCCGTCAGGACCCAATCCTTGCCACCAACCATCATCTACCATTTCAATGTGACTGATAATATCACCTGGATCAATTGTAATTTCAGTATCATCGGCTAGAATAAACAAATATTTTGATCAGTAAATTGGAACAATAACAAACTTTTAAACAGTATTACCTGCTGCATAATCATAAATAGCTCGCGCCCTAATGCCAGCATCACCATAAATAACTGCATCAACAAATTGTTGTTCTGAAATTTGTTGCACTTCTTCAACTACTTTATTATTCTCCTGCATTTGAATATCATTATCTGGTTCAGTGGGGCTTGTGACAGAGTTTTGTTTGTTATCTTTTGGACAACGTTTAATTGTAGCAAACTGATCAGATTCGTCATCACTTTGTTGTTCATCATGTCTAACAATGTTAGTGGAATCTACTTCAGTTGAAGTTGTATTAGGATCATATTGCTCTTCTAACTCTGGTTGGGCCGGTAGTTGTTGTTGCTGCTGTTGCTGTTGCATTTGTTTTTCTTGTTGCGCTTTCAACAATGACGTGCGAACAGGTTTTTCGGGCGTTCGTTTTATTTGACCTGCCGATGTATTCTTCTCAAATATAGATCGCGCATCAATTGTTCGCTGAGCAATTAAATTCTGTGTCTCTGCATTGCGTTGCTGACGGATCATATCGCTTTGATTGACTTTCACCTCTCTCTCGGCGACATTGTTCTGTGTATCTTGTTTGGATTCCACATTTGCAGCCTGTTTCAATTCAGCCTCTTTGATTTGATCTATTGTGCTGTCCCGCTTTTTAGTAATTTCTTCTCTTCGTTTCGCTTCTAGCTCATCTCTTTTTTTAATTTCTTCATCTAAAATTTTTCGTTCTTCGTCTCTGCGCCTTCGTTCTTCTTCGACACGTCGTTTTTCCTCTTGTTCTTCTTTATACCAAAACTGATCTCTTTCAGTAGCATTGATTTCTTGCAATGGATTTACTCTCTTGTAATTAGAACCAACTGGAACTTTAGGCCCTGAATTGTCACTCCTTGGTGCTTTAAAGCTATATGCAGATCCTGCATTTGCAATTTTATCTATTATCAACTGAGGCTCTACTTCTTCCTCATTTCGAGCATTAATTGTAATTGCACCATTGAAGAATTTCTCTACATCTCTTATATGATTGGCACAAAGACCTTTGCGTACAGTGTTAGCACCATCTCCTTGCCAGATGATTAATACACATTTGGGTAATGAGGTTTTAGGGTCATTAATCTTAACAAAAGCATACATTATTTTTCCACTATTTAAATCTTCTGTCAATTCCTCCAGGCCTCCAGAGCCTGTATTAACGACTTTCAAATCATTTGTTTGTCCTTCATAGCCAAATAACGCCCTAAAATATCATAACAAAACAATAATGCATTATCTACTTGTAAACATAACCTAAGGAGGCGGATCATTTCCCTAAGAGCTTACTCACCAATCAGTATCGGTTTTTTCCGATATCACATCCTTATAGGCGTTTGTTAGTTCATCTTTATGTTTGTTCAAATTAATGGCCATATTTATTAACTAATACCCACGGCGAATGCAGCAGAACACCCACAAATACATGCGAAACTCCGCACCGGAGACGAATCTCTTCACGAGACCGGCCACACCGCATAAACGTCTACGTCTACTTGAGTCTACTGCGTTCGTGTTGGCATGAAATTCGCACGCACAGAGCAAGACCGAACAGACGCAGGTCTCAGGCCGCAATCTTTTTTCCAGTGACTGCCCACAATTTAGCGCAAACAGGAGCCCACTTCACTGAACTTTCCCAATCCAGTCCACGACGTGCGCGACCATTTACCATGTACAACAGCTAATAAAAGTTCAACAACACTGCATCTCGAATCTTGATTAAATTGAGCACTTTATATGAATATGCAAATCGCGCGTTGAACTAAACTTTACGCTGGAGCACGCTTAATGTTATAATTATTTGATGAATGTAATAATTCACTTTGGCCTACTAATTTTCACAACTGTACATTAGCTTATTCTTATCGCAGTAATTTGTAGCGCCATTATCTGGTGTGAGTAATTGTGTTGCACGTACGCCAAACTAATTTTATCAAGCTATGGAATTGTTATCATAGATTTGTTAGAAAGAAATTGATTAAAAACTGTATTAAGTGTTTAAAAAATTGAGTTTATATCATGTTCTGGCGCCTTATAATCAATTCAATTTTGAATTAAAAAATCGAGAATTATTTTTAGAATTAAAATTTGTAAAATACTTGAAAAGAAAAACGCGCATTATCAATTTATTGCAAATGACGCGTGTGCCTCTTATTTTATTGACTCAATAAATAACATACTACATACTTGAAACAATATTTAATCTTAAGTAAAGTAATAATAATAATGCAATATGCAAATGCACTCTATTTTTAAAACGTTCATTTTAATACTTTTTGCTTTCACTCTTTAAGTATGTACTATGTAAATTTTCAACCCATTATTATCCACATGATTAGACAGAAACAAAAAGAAGTCTATACAAAATATTGTACAAAAACTTTCAACAATATGATATATCTACCACTTACCGAAAAATATGAATAATTTAAAAGTATTTTACTGCACGAGTTTAACTACAAGCAATTTAAATTGTTTACTCTGCAATAACCAACATAAAAACTTTTACATATATCTAGTTAAACAATCAGTGAAGAATGCTACTTTGTTACCTACTCCAACATGCTTTTAAAAAGTTGATCATTAATAGATTAGTTCCCATCATTCAGGACCTTGTCGCATTGTGCGATGATCTATTCTAGTTTCAGTTCTGTCGCACCGGTGTAAACCGAATCAAAAGATAAAGCAAAAAGCAAAATCGTAAAAACAACGAACGTAGTAGTACAAACTACATGAACGAATAGTGTGGGCATAGTGGGAGCGCGCAGAAGCGGTTTCCAACGCAATCGGATTGTTTACTGTTTCCTCTCTTTTCGCGCATGAAAACCAACGCGGCGTGCATTTACCGTTTGACTACTTTGGATGTGCACTCGCAATAAAAAGTGTTCTTCGTAGCATCAGTCAATCAGCAGCAGCCGTGACACAAGAAACTTGTGTAGAGATTTATCTTCCGTCGACTTTCTTTGTTTATTAAAATCATGTGATTGTCCGAACATTACAACGCGATATAAAAACTTGCGTGCGTGATTTTTTAAAGAAATAAGTGAAGTATAACAAGTTTGGATAGAAACATGTTTGAAACTGTTTCGGGAAACGAGCGATATCAGTTTTTCAATAAGAATGATGGGTGCCATATTCCAGGGTAAGAGACCGACTAACCACCGACGACTCTACTTTCATTACTTGATCAATAAAAAGCGTATCAACTCCACTTGGGAGTTATTATCACCGTGGATAGTTTGAGTCGGAAACTACTCCCAATACGATCCAATCAATACGTAAAATAAATATTGAGAATTTGAATTTCGCGCTCTACACTTTCCACTTACCCATATTTTTTCAATACCTATTTATCAATAATTAATCATTTTAAGAATTTGATATGTTATTATTGATCAAACATATTAAATTATTAGGAATTTATATTTCTAAAGAATGTTTTCCAGGGAATATACTTGAAACCTTCACATTATTTATAATTTATTGTCAATTTTGTACGTTATCATGTCGTATATCAACATTCCCTCATATTAATAGCTTAACTGCATAAGCAATGCTATAAATATTCGTTTACTGATAAGAACAAATGATGCAACCGTAACAGGAAGTTTTAAGTTCAAGGTCTGCAATAATTACCCGTGCGTATCATTAATTAGATTCACGTGTGGGTGTGGATGTTGATTGGATTTATTATGTATTGTTTACACGCAAGTTAGCACATATCCAATGACATAATCAAAGTTTTCAAACTCGTGCTCGTTTAGCATTGAGAAAAAGTTAGCGAGCGGGTGAGATTTGTGGCGATGATTAATGAAAGTGGTGTTTCTAATATTGTTAAATGATGCGCGTTTAAAATAGATTCTGCGTTAACTGCGTTACATTAGTAAAACTGTGCCAGGAGGTCCTAGGTACAACGCAAAAGCAAATCATTTTATCAACTCAAGGTAAATAATCTAGATAACTATCAAGTTCTGTGTGAATTGGTAGACATTTTGCGGTGGTTTTGATTTATGATAAGAATAAACTTAATTTAAACTTTGCTGGGATAGCTGCACGAAAAATTATCAGTGTATGCATACACAGACAATCATAAAATAATAAAATCTTGTTTTGACAAAGATTTAATTTTAAATTTAAAATTTAATTTTTGTTTTTGTATATATTTATTAATTTATATTTCTGAATTATCAGATATACTGGACATTGTCCAACTTTAAGATTTCAATATGGAACTTCTTATGGATCTAGAACCAAAGAAATACTGCAAGATTTAAAGCAGAAACAAATAATTGGAAAGCCGCGTCCTGCATATCGCTACAACAATGAACACGACCGAGCTGTTTTACAGCCAATTGAAAGGACCAAGGGCCAGACAACTGACCCCGCGTCTGAAACTAGAAACAGAGCTCCACGTTATATCATCGGATATACTGGTTACGATTCCAACTGCTTCGCATGCTATTCATGTTAACTTATCAGTCAACTTTTATTCCAGGTTTCATTCCAACTTTAAACTTCCGCTCTGGTAAATCCTATAGTCGCACGGCTGATGATTGCATGCATGAGTTTTCAGCGAAACAAAGGAGAGTTCCAGAACAACAAATAAGCAAAAACAAACTGAGATCTCTAAGCGCACCAAAATATAAATCAGTGCGAAACAGCGACGATGTTAAATATGTTTTACAAACAAAGCGCTCGGATGTGGATAGATTTAAAAGTATACTTGGTGCATTTAATATTATTTTGTATGTTAATAAATTATTTTCAGTAAGAGATGTTTCTCCCGAATGTCCACCAATAGCTGGATATACAGGATATATCCCAAAAGTTAAAGGCAACGAAGAGTCTTTGTCTCAACGGTATAATAATGTAGTCAAACGTAGTTTGACATTATTGAAAGAAGAACGAGATCGACATTCCAAGTTTTTGAAGAGCATGTATAATGATGAGAATTCTCATCGTTAAATGATACAAATCAATCATTATTTCATTTTTAAAAGAGGTAACGTTACGAAATGCAGGAAAATAACTCTAGATTTAATATTACTCATCTCAATATCAAATATCTATGAAGTATATGATTACTGCGAGCATTCTGAATTGCTTTCAAGTTTCGTTTGGTTACGAAACTGTGATAAGCAATGTAATAAAGTGAATTATGTTGGGAATTTCATCCAATTTTTAACGTTTTACGTAATATTATGTTTCGGTTCAGATTTTCTTGAGTATGTAATAAAATAAATACAAAATAATTTACATATCCAAAAGTTTAAAACGCATGTGTGGGGAATTGTGGTATACATTATTTATTGTAATACATTTCGCTCTCTCGACACTTATACCCATGTCGAACTATGCAGATTAACGTGACGCTGGCAATCAAAGCGATAAGTGTTGTGCATTGTACCCACCAATAATATTTTTTTATTACTAACTCCTCTTCACTTTTTTGCTTTCCTTTCGAATTATAACTTAATAATTCATCTATATATTTCCCAGGTGGATTCACTTCACCATTAGGAAGTTCATATTTGCTCGGTTTAGGAAACATCCCGCGGTAAAACAAACCTAGTTGTTTGTATATTTGTTGATTAACTTCTTTCCTGCGCGGTGTATGAGTTAAATCATCATTGAGGCAAATAAACTTTCTGAAAATACAATAGTAAGTTTTCTACAGTGCATGAACGATAATAAAAATACCTGGGTTCTCGTTTTAAATCATTTAAAATTGAAATTATTTCATCCAATTGTGATTTTAAAGCAGCAAACATGTAAAATCCATTTGGAGGTACTCTTGTCATGAACATACTTTTAAATTTCCGGCGCGATCTTAGCGAAGTTTTGAGAAATTCCTCAAATAATTCACACTTTTCAAGCTGTGTTGTATTGTATGCTTTTTGATTAGTGTCGTCTAGTATACAAGCCCTTAAAACGTTTCTAAATTCGTGTGTATCGTTTTGATTTGGGCGTGATTTATTCTTATAGTGCTTAACAATCATCCAGTTCACCTCTTCGTTGTCTAACATACTGTTTTGATTGACATCATGCTCATGCAATATTTCTTTGAGGCTCAAGATCGTCTGCTTTTCGTAGGTGTAGAAAGCATAGAATATCTGAAACTGAATGTCACTTGCGTCTCTAAATCTATGTGAAGATGTATTGGACAATTCAATTGGAAAATCGTTCCATGCGTCCTGCATCACATCAACGTCAAGTAGGAAAGGCATGTGTGGAGTTACATACCGCTCGTGGTACCCAAATTTTCTATTGAGAAGTTGTTGGGTAGTTTGTATGGAGAGACCATACGCATCTGTGGGCAGGAACTGAAAAACTCGTACTGAGTATTGGAGCAGGTGCGGGGGTACCGGACAATCGCCCCCGTCCATTTGACACTCAGGTGTATAACAAGCGTGATCACATCTACCATTACCGACTTTACTCCATGGGCACAGAAGTGCACAATTAGGCATTTTGGAATGCCAATAAAAGAGTTGTCCATCTGTAGGAGTATAAAATGTGGAGAATTCTACAGGGGCCCCAATGAGCAAATCGTCATTCATATAGAGAAAGCGTTTTGAAATCCCCGGAATTCTATGTAAGTTTGTCTCAATGGCGGGGCTACTAAAAGTTGGTAGATGTGACCGATTAGCAAATATCTGCTCATGGGTGATGATGGTGACATGACCAGCTTCTAGATTCAACCAGCTAGGCACCTGTCCATTTGTAACAATATACACATGGCGTATCCACGGCATATTCTTTTCAATACTGCGCAGGGAATATAGCAATTCGTCATTGGCAGCGTAGCGTCGATCGCCGTTAATGTCGTCTTTTTGTTTATGATTTTTGCTGTAACTATGAAGTTGATCAAGGAAACGTTCCTCTGATCCATTTACCCAAGTGTAAACAACATCAATGGCCGGATTTTCAAAAGAAACGATGCATTTTCGACGTGGTAGGTTTCCCAGAGCAGTGTGTTGCAAATACTAAATTCATAAAGCCTTATTTTGCCGTATAGATATTTATCGTATAATTTTACTCACTTGCAAATAAATCACACAACAAATCTGTGTAATTATGATACCAATGGCGCATCGATACATGGATATGCGACGAACATACATTTTTTACACTTGGCTCGAGTAATTAATTCATAGCTATGCGAGTTTTACTAAATTTTTTATGTAATTTAGTTGTTTAATTATTTTTTGTAGACACGCGCCCATATTTGGATTGTTTGTTCACCAAACAGCAGCAATCACAAGTTACTTACTTATTTGCTATTACACGAGTTATAAATTCTACAAGCACGACAAGCAGAAATGTGACTAACATCACGAGCCCAAAAATCGGAAGTAATTGAGTAAGACACAAATTTAACGATATTATTCAGATTTATTATAAATACAGCATACAAACATACAAAAATACTTAAGACAAGATGTATTTAAAAAACGGGTGGTGATGTTCAGTTTTGAAGACGCGCTTTCCTTTCCTGTTCTAACTGACACGCGCGTCTCCAGCAGGATTCGTCTAAAACACTCTTGCCATCTGCTAAGCAAATAAAACGAGAAAGTACAAGTAGGGAATGTAGATCTTCTGCGGTGGCGTTTTGATTCGCGCGCATATTTACGAACTCATTTTGCACCACCTATAAGGCGTAAGAAATAAATTTAAGTGAAATACGTAATAAATTGATAGTCATAATAATTACCTCATGAATATTATCAGTTATTTCATACACAGCATGTCTTCTATTTGCGATATATTTGCGGATAGATGTTAACAATTCGGGCTTCAGATACACATTGAGAGCAGCAAGGATTTCCTCAAAAGTAGTGATATGAGCGTCCTCGGGCCTCAAAGGAACATGAACGTCGCTCTGTAATATTTAACAATATTAACATTTGATCACTCTTCATATCTTAAACACTGTTATAATAATAATAGGTTGTTTGCAACTGCATACACGACCAAGTAAAGCTTGAAAAATGGACGCACCTGAATTGCACTATTTTTATTATTGGTTTGTAATTTCGAGCGATAATACAAAAACTAACGCCAATAAAACTACAAACCGTAATTAAATAGAACAAAATAATAACTTGTATTTATTAAAATAATTTTGTGATTTTCTTGGATTTTACAATTTTGCATGCGAGTTTTACATGTTTCGCCCTGTGGGCATCATCAGAAACAGAGTTCCAAGAAAATCACAAAATTATTTTAATAAATACATTTTATAAACCATGGATTACGTATTCAACTTAGAAAATAATAAAATAATAACTACTAAAAATATTACTTACTGGTAACAAAGATTTGCCCTCAGACAAAATTAAAAACGCAATGTCACAATCAAAGTCCATTTTATAATAATTAAAATCATAGTGAGAGCGTTGATTTTTGATTATTTCGGAAATAGCACCCACAGCTTGCACACCAGATGAATTCATCTTTCCTGTAGTAAGTTTGGTTTCATCCAAAACAAGATGTGTATTGCTACTTAACTGCAGAATTCCACTGGTTATCCTATTGCAATCATAATCCTTCCTGTAAAGAGAATATAAGTAAATAAATATTATAATTTTAATATTATTTTCTTATACTTTGGTATGAAAGCTAAATCATTCATGTTGTCCAGTGTCATTGGTAAATAATGACTCTTTGTGATTAACTTCTCCAATATTGCATACACCTGAGCACCATATTCAGATAAAATACAAGTTGGCACATTAGAAATGTTATATGTGAATTTTCCCAAAACCATTAAATCAAATCTGTTGTAAACCTTTGAGATTAAGTGATATATGAGATATTCTGCAGCTAATTTATCACCCAGAAGTAATTGTGTCAAAACAATCTCCAGCTCCTTTTTGATTGTCTGCAATTCTTGCCCTGACATGTTGTTGCTCTCTTCATATAATGGGCTGGAATCTACCACTTGCTTAAAAGCAATACAATGAATTTTAGGAATTAATGAAGGTGGTGGGTGATGAGTTTGCAATTCCATTAAAGTTTCATCCTCATTATCATCACCATCATTTGCACCCTCCTGGTACAGGCCTTCCATAGATAGAAAACCTACACAATCAATCAACTCATTGAGTTTTAAATTATCAGCCTTCTCATATACTTTTAAGTGGCATGCTTTTCCAGATCTGCCAGGTAATGGCATGTTCAGTAAATGATCCACAGAAACAACTGACTTGTTTTCTGTTTCAGGATTGTTTGAATTTGTACATTGTTTCTTGCTGCATGCAGTAGTTGAGTCTACTTCCATTGAGGTAGTTTCAGGTTGTTCATCTTCATCATTCATTGATCTTTTAGTTGAAGTAGAAACAGCTGGTGCTTCAATGACTTTGTTAGGATGATGAAATTGTTCCTCTGCATTGATTGCCCAATCATTGAAACCTGGTGCAGTGATGAGAACAAAAGTTTGCCTGTCTTTTGTAACATTGGACTTGCTCTCAAAATTAATATACTCTTTATCCTGGAGATACAAAAATAAAAGCATTAGCATAAACTAATATATAAATATAATGTTACTTACATCACAGACAGCTGTATCTCTGTATTTTCCAGGTAAAACATGCTTTTCTTTTGTTTCCTTATTTACAACCTCATAGGTTTCATAATAATATTCAGGGTTAAACATATCTTGAATCATACCTTTAAAACGAACGAGTTTATTCACTTGCAGATCTTGAGGATTTTGTACATTCAATAAGGGAATTTTATTCCAATTATTTTGTACTTGCTGCAGATTTTCAACTTCATTGCTATTGAGCCAAGAATTTACATCAATTGCTTGAATATCCATGTTTAATTGTTACTAATCGTTACACGAAAGAAGAAAACCAGCACTGTTGCTAATGGCTGCTGCGGAAATAATTATAAAATAAAATACGCGCCAAACTTTAGACATGGTTAGAATTAAACCATGCCCCTCCCCTCACACAATCGGTGCAAAATGAATGTGAGTTCGTGTGCTGCGCATGATCGTACAAGATTACACATTTCAAATTTGATATCAAACAATAACAATAATAGTATCATTCCAGTAACAGTACACGATTTAAATTATTAATAGTAGTTTTCAATAACTTAATTGCTCTTGAAAGAATAACTGTTGGAAACTAAGTTTCAAACCAGGTTTACATAATAATTACATAAAAAAGTTGATTGTTGCGTTTTATTAGACTCAACTATTATGTACCCTTCATTAAAATAGGCATAAACAATTTGTTTTTGCGCCCTCCTTATCGCACGCAGCTGACGAAAGAACAAAATTCCCCAGAATCCTCCCACTTTCCGTCGCAGTCACCCCAGTCAGACGGCGGCCGTCACTCCAGTGCCATATTGGTGTGTTGTTAATTGTTAATCGACGTTGGATTTCATGGATTTGCTTTTGTTTCGGCCCATAATACGCGCTAAAGAGGTAATTCGATTATGCGTTATGTAAGAAAGGTGCGAGCGCGCGTCCGTCACACACGCTTGCAGCGTATTATCGATTCGTCGATCAAAACTAGGCCAATGCACCAATCGCACCCAAACCCATGTTGTTTATTTTATTGCTGCCACTTTGTTTATTTCGGTTTGCGTATAATAAATAAAACATAAAACATTGATATCGTGTTTTCTAAGTAAAGAGTAAGTTAAGAATCTTAAAGCGTAGTTGGTTTAAACCAAGCTAGAAATTAACGTCTCTCTTTCAATCACAAGCACAGAATTTAACACACGAGATTTAGTTTAGTATAGTTTAAAAAATTAAAATATCTAAGATATACGAATTTTTGTGTTTGCTTAATTTAAATAATACTCCGAAGTGGGTGGGTTTTAGTCTAGAAGCAAATTCGTCAATAAACCTTGCTGGTGTGGGTTTTTGCTGAAGCATGAAAATATTATTTATAACTTGCTTGATGGATCAGGTTACACAAACTGCTAAATGTGTTTAATCGAAAGACACACTAGTGGTTGTATAGTGTTATCAAGCACTGTGGTTATTTTTAACATCAAGCAAGAGTTTGGAACCTTGCATTCTTGCATGTTCTGCTGGCTTGTGTTGTGATACATTACTTGAGATCAAGCATTCATTAAAATATTACTTGTGCACAGAATGGCAGGTGAGGTGATGGCCAATGGTACTAAAGAAAAGTGGGATCCTGGTAAGAAACCTAGTCAGTGAACAATCAGTCGTGTTTTATTTACACCTATTTACCAATTGTTTTTGATTTGGATTGTGTGATTTTGTGTTTGCCATAGAAAGTTCTATTTCTGAATTATACCTTGGTGTGTATTATTTCTGTTTAGTTTGTTGTTTAACAGTTTTACCTCTTGATCTTAGTATTAGTATGTTGTGATGATTAATCGCATTTTTTCATTTAGCGCTATCACGACTGCTGACGTCGCTGCAACAAGCAAACGAGCTGCCAACATCAGACGAAGAACTCGGCTTTTTGAGTGACTTACTGCAATCGAAAGAACTCCACGCCCTTGTAAACGTGCACAATAAAATCATCAGCAATGGAGCAAGCGACAAATTCTTTCCAATGCTGTCGACATCGATGCACGTCATGTTCGACTGCCTCGAAGTCCTGGCGAGTAAAACACATCTATCTGAAGACTGCAAGGAGTTATTTTATTTGCTGCAAAAACCACATGTTCAAGTACTGTCTTTCAATTATACTTTTATTCCTGCATCACTTTAAAATGTTGTATGTTTAAATGCTAGGGGCTACTCTGCGCACACGATGCTGTAGCGCAAAAGGACTACTATCCACACTTGCCAGAGATCCCAATCGAAGCAGATGAAGATGAAGAAACCATCAAGATTGTCCAACTGGTCAAGAGTAATGAACCACTGGTGAGTTACAAGTTGCTATTATAAATGTATGCTTATGATTACTTATGCTAATTTGGTATATTCGCGACGAAAAGTGCTGTAAGCGTGTACACGTGAACAGAATCGAGCTGATTCCACATGATATTCACACACACATGATATATCTGTTTGTTTGCTTGCAAAGTCGGGCGCTCAGAGTGCCGAGCCGATCGTTGTAAGTACATTTGGGTCCTTTTGGCATCTCTAGCCAGCGCTTTTCAGACAACATTTTACTCACCATCGCAGTATTTCGCTTATACTCTAGTTCTTTTTCAATTTTCTTTTAAAAGTACTCTGCACCTGTATAATTACGAACCCACTTTATGGACTTTAATGTAATCTTGCACATTCTCATCAAAACTATTTGATTGCCAGATTGGTTTAGTAACTGTTTTCCAATCCTAGGGAGCCACCATCAAGACTGATGAAGAGACCGGAAAGATTGTCATCGCGCGTGTTATGCATGGCGGGGCTGCAGATCGATCCGGGCTAATTCATGTCGGTGATGAGGTCGTGGAAGTAAATAATATCAACGTCGAAGGGAAGACACCAAATGATGTTTTGGCGATTTTGGTACGTTTATTACTGTACTTGTGCTTAAATTATGATTGATTTGTTATTATGCATTGTAGCAAAACTCTGAAGGAACAATCACGTTTAAATTGGTGCCAGCTGATGGAAAAATGAACATTCGTGAGAGCAAAGTGAGAGTTCGAGCTTACTTTGATTACGATCCTTCTGTCGATCCGTACATTCCCTGCAAAGAAGCGGGATTAGATTTTCTAAAAGGAGATGTTCTACATATCGTATCGCAGGACGATGCTTATTGGTAAATGTCTACAGAATTTCTGCTGGCGATGCTCATAATAAAACTGTCAACATTTAGGTGGCAGGCAAGAAAAGAAGGCGACCGAAACATGCGTGCCGGTTTAATACCAAGTCGAGCGTTGCAGGAGCGTCGAATCATTCACGAACGCGCTCACGCCCAGAAAGAAAATGAATCAGGTATTTCTTGATTTTAATAATCACCCAACTATTGCTTTCAGCTTCTATCGCTTTTTAAATAATATTTAGGGCGTTATAGCAGTGCATGTGTAGAAATTTGCTTCATAACCATTTCATACACTTAACATACATACACACAAACGCGCGTGCACGCACCGAAAAACGATCGGCAGTGTGACACGAAACGGTGAGAAACATTCATATTCATTAATAAACGTCGACGTGGCCGTAGGGCTGTGCTCTGTTTCAGCAGTACCCATGCTTTCCTCCTGCAGCCAATTTCCGAAATCCCCCGCCTGTAAATCCAAATCCAAAATTAAAAAGATTATGTATGAAACAGCCGAAAACGATGACTTCGATCGCGAGCAGATTCCCACCTACGAAGAAGTAGCGAAGTTGTACCCAAGGCCTGGTATTTATCGGCCTATTGTGCTTATCGGTGCGCCTGGAATTGGCCGCAACGAGTTGCGACGGCGCCTTATAGATACACATCCAGAAAAGTACAAAAGTCCTATACCATGTACGTATAGTCGTTTTTATTTACCCTGGAGGATCGCGATAATGTAATATTGCTCTTTTATCAGATACAAGTCGGCCCATGCGGCCGGGTGAAGTTAACGGCAAGGAATACTACTTCGTAACTCGTGACAAAATGGAAGAAGACATTTCCGCCGGAATATTTATGGAGTACGGCGAATACAAAGGCAATTTGTACGGTACCTCCTGCGAGAGCGTCAAATCATTGGTAAACTGCGGGCAGGTCTGCATACTGAATCCACATTTTCAAGCGCTCAAAATGCTGCGAACGCCACAGCTAAAACCGTATATCATATATGTCAAGCCGCCGCCTCTTGAAATACTCAAAGAAACGCGATACGCATTGCATGCAAGGTCAACCTTCGATGTTAACAACTCGAGGGGGTTCACGGTAAGTCCTACACGAATTTAGTTTGGAATGTACTGAAATCTGACTTTTAGGACGAGGAATTTAACGATATGATAAAATCTTCAAACCGCATCGAGTTCTTATATGAACACTTCTTTGACGAACAGATTTTGAACGCTGACTTGGCGATTGCGTTCAGTCAGCTGCTGTCGGCCGTTAATCGAGTCGAAACAGAACCCCTTTGGGTGCCTGCATCTTGGGTGCAATAGAAAGTACAAGCCACGCTTATCGCGACGTCAGTTGGGGAGCCGTGCACGCGCAGCATAATAGCGTGCACGTTCATTACAGTTTAACCGTTCATCCGTGTGCTTTGTTTGAAGCAATCTTAGAATATGTAATACCAAAACAAACAATATCAGTATTCCTCACTAGAGTCTACCTATTAGACCCAACCTACGGTATTAGATCGATCCGATCGATATTCTTATAATGTATATTCATACAGATTTATAACATTTAAGTATGTATAGATATACTATTTTTGCTTGTTATTCGATCGAAGGTAAGATACGATATATACATTTATGATGAGACACTCACAAACCACCAAACAAAAACAAAGGGTAAATAACAAAAGTTGCCTGTGACATTCTATAGCTATAATTGCTAATTGTTGATTAAAATATATTTAAACCAAATTAAATAAGTAGGGATAATAATTAGGGATTAATGAAGAATTGTTAAATCTATCAAATAGTCAAAAGAAGGTAAATCGATTCTGTGTTACCACTGCCAAGTAAAATAATTTCAAATTCTAAATAAGTGAAGAAGATGAAACAAACGAGACAAAAAGAGCGAAGAAATTATTCACAGCCTCGTTTTTATTTTGCAATAGCATGATCGATAGTATTGTTGTACGTAATTGATCGTCTTAGCGACGAAAACGAGTGAAGTTAGTTAACACATTTTTTGATTTGGTTTGGGGTCAGATTAGCGAGACGCACGTTCACTTGGTTCTTTTTGTTTACACTTCAAACCGTGTGCCATCACTAAACTTATATCGTGCCAATAGATAAATGGCACTTAATGCAATGCGTTGATTTGCTGTCTACTGTGCTGATTTTAAAGTCCGAATTATACGAGAATCCTTTATATCGAAGAATTCAAATTGTTTTTATATTGCGCCACGTGTCCATTAAAGCATCAGTGTTTGGGGCGCTACCAGACGATACGCCGTGTTCTAACTTGTGCAGGCGACAGTTTTGCAGGAACACCGCCAACGAGTGATAATAGCCTTGTAGTGTCCACGTCTCGTTGTGGGTACCAGACGGGAGCTGGAGGAGTTGCTTGCGGGTGCTGCCGCATCGGCTATGGAGGTCGGTCATCATGCGTGGGGGGACTAGCATATCGGCGAGACCGGATATAAATAATGATGGTACTCTCAAGTGCAGTACTTTGTACAATGAGGAGAACTGAAAACGAAAAGTGAAATTGACGAGGTAATAAATAACATCAACACATGTTTAGAGTATGAACAAAGAAAAGGTCACATGATTTAGTAATCATACCTTGTTTTTATAGCACAATAAAGGCAGATAATTTAAAAGCCTCCATTGTAGCAACACCTTAGCCATGTCTGGAATACTGGTGAATGTATTTTCAACAACAAGACACCATATCTTTTCACTGTATTCTACTCTGCTAGCTAAATCAATTGCAACAGCTCCACCTGAAACATTGATTTGATTTAAAAATGCTGACCACCTTGCAAGCAGTATAAATCACCTAATGAACGCCCAAATACAATAATCTCATTGTGATTTATATCTGTCCTTGTGTATAAATAATCAATTGCTGCTCTAGCATCCATGTACAAGCCTTCTTCACTTGGATTTCCTTCTGACAATCCATAGCCCCTGTATTCTACCAGCAATATATTGCAATGTAAATTATGATATAGTCCTACACAGTTTTGTAGTCTATGCCCAATATTTCCAGCATTGCCATGAAAGAAGACAATTGTAGGTGAATGTTGCTGTCTATCTCTAGGCTGATGGATGAAAAACATCTCTATTTGAGTTCCATCAATTGACTTAATTTGAACTTGCTCATAGGGCATATTGTACATGGACGGCACTGGTATGAACACCCTTGAGTGACTTGGTAACTCTGGATAGTAAAGGAAGTAGTCCTCTGCATGATATAAAATGCCTGTGGGTAAAGGGAGTGGTTGTATAAATGTTTACTTTGAGAAGTGATAGGATACAAACCTGCTGCAGCAAATAAGAGCAGGAGGGCGGCGACCGTACCACCGTACAAATAATACAAGAGAAAGCACAGCAGCAACACAAGGCCTGAATATGCCCAAATTTTCAACATTACATTACACATCACACTAAAAATGCGACTGAGTCGGGCGTAATTTCCCATCACTGCCAATTTAAATCGTTTCACTTTTGCATATCTAACATATTTGTGTTTTTCTAATCATGTTTAGTCATTTGGCAAAGATGGTGCACGCATAGAGTAGCAAAACATCGTTTATTGTTGAAGTGTTATTCATTTAGAGTAATTTCTGTGAATTTAACCTTATACTCGGGAAATTGCATACTGATGGCGCACGCGCATCTTTCATAATCAAAATTCAAAAAAGTTTTCCAGAGATTCATTGATATCGTATTAATGTAGCAAAACTCGTTTGAGACTTATATTATTTCATGGTATGATATAAAAACACGAAATTGAATTTGGATGCATTTATTTTGAGCAACAAACAAATAAGTTGTATACATATCCATAAATGAAAATATAAAATCTAACCTACTTTTGCAATAGCAACTAAAATGAATAAAAATTAATCAAATATAAATCATCATAGAATAAAAATTAGTCAAATACACATCATCATTTACTAAATTGTACATATCATAGGCTTTCTAAACTTGCTTTAAAAGTTCTTGCAAATCTTGTTGTTCTCTTTCTTTTTCCAACTGTTCTTGGTATAAAGTGATAAGAATATCTTGAAACCGTTGGCGCAGAGCGTGATTCTCAATATTTTCAACCTCAGACTCTTGCTGTTGCCGGCGTAATTTCAGTTCTGCCAGTTCTTTGTGAATCTCTTCCAATCGATTTTCAATGTTAGCTAAAACATGAATAAGCATAAGAATAATTGTAATACATACATAGGTATATTATATTACCTTTGGTTAAGTCCATAGAAGTAAATGGAACACTTGATGAATTATAAAAATCCATGTCTTGTATCATATTTGAAGAGTTATCCACAGATTGAAACATTTCATTAGAAAATTCAGTCATTAGTTTATTATCCATTGAATTATTCTGAAAAAGTTAAATGTTTTCCTACGATTTTCATATTGTATGTAAAAGCTTACCAAAGCAGAATTAGAATCAGTCATTCTGCTGTCTGAATTCTGACTGTTGTCATCCACATCAAGCACATGTAAAGTTGCATCTTCTTCATCAGAATCACTTACAGCGCCTCCGAATATATCATGCTCAGCAATATTGGATATATTTTCAGGCTGTTCAGTTTTAATAACTGTGCCTTTGTTCACTTTGTTATCATCATCTTCATTAATAACTTCCCACTTAATGCTTATAGCATCATTATCTATTCTAAGCAATCTCTTAACTTCCTTTTCAATTTCTGGTGCTTCAACATATTTTTTCTTTAACGTTTTTCTAAATCGCCGTTTCCTAGCATTCTTTACAGGTGGTGTAATGCCATGTGGCCATAAATATTTCTTATCTACTTTGATAGAATCCTTTTTCTTTGCCTTCTGTGGGGATTCCTCATCAGTAACAGCATCCTCTTCATATCTACATAAGAGCAATTGGCAAATATCTGCAGTTTTATAAAATCCTTTCGAGTCAATTGTTTTTAGTGATTCTACTACTGTAGGTAGATCTACAACTTTTGCTGGAAGTAGCCAGTGATCAATTCGTACTTCGCCATGTCTCATATCATCTTCTATTTTTACACTAAACCGATCTTTCATTGTCGCATTGTTGCGTATAGCTTCGCGCAAAACTTGCGCCGGGTCCTAATAAACAAAATATGTCGCATAAAGCATAAATAACAAGCAGTGACATAACCTATTTGCTCTTGTTTACTAGCTGACAAAATAAGTGCAATAACTTTACAAACTTACATGAGGAAGGCGTAAAATAAATTGGGATTCTAAATCAGGTTGATCCATGTTTAATGATTGCTTCGAACGATATAGGTAAACAACGGCTTCGCATAAACTCAGCTGCTATATATGTTTAGTCACTTTTGCTGCCGTGCAGAGTGCGCGCATATAGCACATAGTCAGGACCGCGTACAATTGGCGCACAATTTAATTTCACTTGCACTTCACCCGTGTGCGCTTCAGCTATGCACTTCAGGTGGGTTGTTGTTTACTTGTATTATATTAATGAATTGGCGGTTTAAGTTCCAGACGCTTAAAATTCTCCATCGTGTTGAATTTTAATTTCGGTAAAAGGTGACTCGTGAAGTATGGAAAATTCATGTTTTTCTTCTATTTTACGCCCGAGTCATACAACGCGCACGCAAAGTCGTAATTACTTGATTCAGCTATTTCTGATTAAGATTTGCCATTAGAATTATATATTTACATTTCGTACTTTACATTTTACTAATTCAGGTTTATTTTCAGATTTATTTTATTATCGCCTGTTACACGGCGCATGAACAACACTTCTGCATTTTTTGCGTTTTCGACAATGGCAAATTCCGAGAAAATTTCTTCGTGAAAATGTAAGTTATTTCTATTATTGTAATATTAACTTTTGTTGAGTTTATTATTCCCGTCTTACAAATGTATTGTATTACAGTTTTAACTTTTTTCTGCGGAAAGGTAGAAAATTGGCTAATTGCTTTGTTACAATCTGTTTTATAGATTTAACCACTTGTGGTCGATAGATGAATAGGTGACATAGCGACTGAACAGGCGGCGTGCTGTATACGAAGAAACTGGAAAAAGAAGATGTGTCCTCACATATTTGTGAACTCGTGTTTGCATGGATCTTATCAGCATTCGTGTCGATTGTTGCTTCCTCCCGTTTAGTCCGCCGACCACTATTGTGCGGTGTGCGCGTGTTCCTTTATTTTCATCGCGATTATTTGCATTTCTGAAGATTTTAATTCGGTACAAGCATTAGAATCGTTTAGTCATCGATTGCTCTCAACTACTGACTAAATGATTTTCGTGAGTAGAGAGGAGACTCCAGAATTAAGAGATCTCACCATGTGCGCGTGTGTATTCTGCCGGCTGATGAAATTTGTTGTTGAGCGTGACCGCGTGCAGTCGTACGCAGTTCCATTCCGGATACTAAATGAATCGTGAGCGTTCTTCGCGACTAGTTTGGTTTTAGCAGATCGAAATTGATCTATATTCAATAAACAATCGACTATAATACTAGGATTTATTGGAATTTGGCCAGATAATATGCGCATTTCCGTTTGCCGTCGGTGATTATTTTTTGCATATAAATAGAAGAATACACAGAAGAATATCATGGATTTGTATTTAATTCGAATAAATAGACAACGTATGTACACAGTGAAAAAGTGTCCGAATTGAAGGGCCTTGCTGTTTGTAATATTCATTGCAGAAGGTTTACAGTTGCGCATGTTTTAAGGTATGTACTCTATAGGAGTTAATAGTCGCCAATGTTTTTCCTTTAAAAAATGTATATGTATTTGTAAATGTTGTCAATAAAACAAATAATAATATTCTCATTCATATTTTTTTGTGGTATCCTCTTTGTCGTTTTCAGTTTTAAATAATATGACATATAAGTTTTATGTGTGTGCAGCGGGTATAACATAACTAACTGTTGCTTGAATTGTGTTGTTGTTTTTAAAAACATGATTAAAGTAGAAACGTAAATAGAAGAATCAAATAACGATAATAAAAACACTCGGTGGTCGAGTGGAGACGTGCACCTGCTGGCATGCTAGCAGACATGGATCGAATCCCAGGTATAGAAGGCATTTTTCTCAAATATAAAAATATCAGGTGAAATTTGGGTTGCATATATGAATTGCAACGAAATATAAGAGAAATTGAAATACAAGTGGTGGCAAAATAAGAGAAGTAAGAAAGTAAATGGAGAACGGGAGAACAGAGAAATAGAAGAATGAGAGTAGTAGAGAATAGGAGAAGATAGAAGGAAGAGAATAACAGAGGAGTAGAGTAGAGAAGAGGAGGAGAGATAGAAGAAAGAGAACAGGGAGGATCAGATTTTTAAATTTTTGGCCCGTGTCGTTAGACAGTCTACGGTCGATGCGTCCATTGCTCCCGGCCCATCCTACAGCTACGATGTCTCTACGCTTCATCCCCAGGATTCTTAGGCATATCAACAATTTTTATGGTGGGGAATCATCCTCAGAGAGAGGGAACTCCTTATAAGGACAATCCTTATAAGGTCTTGTTCATATTTCTAAGTTTTAAGTCGTCTCAAGAGAGGTGACACTTAAAAATATTCTTACAAGTTCTAACCTGTACCTGAAATGAAAGAAGGAGAATACAAATCATACAGGTTACCTTAACAATTTTTATAGAGGGGATCATCCCCTGAGAGAGGGAACTCTTGCTGAAATGAAGACGTACATACAAATCAAAGAATACAATATATCTTACTATTTCTTTATTAACAATAAAATACAAGTTTGGACTTTACAAGTCAACAGAGTACATGTCGCCATATTGAAACAGGATTTTCGACCTGCTAAGCCGCGCACATATAAGCAAGTACCACTTCGTCAAGTTCTAGCGGAATTAGGAAATTAGTAAATAGTTCATTTTCTATGTTGTTGAAAATGAAAGCAAATATACAGGGTGTTACAAAAGGAAAATTTAAACTGCAAACAAAAAACTCTAAACATATCATAAGACATTACCATTGCGTTTAACATTTTTTTATTAACAAATTACATACAATACAACTTCAGAATTTGCAAGTTCAATTCCTACAGAACACGTGACGTCATTTTCAAACATGTTTATCGTCTGCAAAGCCACGGCATGCAAATTGCTACCAAATTTCAAATGATAACACTAGAAAATAGCAAATTGCACTCTGTTTTTGCGTGACATCACTGGAAAATAATATACAGGGTGTTACCAAAAGAAAATCTACAATGTAAAAAGAAAATGGCTTCAAAACAATAAAGATTGGCCATTTTTTGCTGAACAAGAAAAGTTTATATACAGGGTGTTGCCAAAAGAAAATCTTCTATTTATAAGGAAAATCGCCCCAAAACAATAAAGATTGCTCATTTCTCGCTGAGCATATAGGAAAATTTATATACAGGGTGATACAAAAAGAAAAGTAAAAATAGAAGTTCTATTACCTATTTCCACTTGGATATCTAGGAGAGGTGATTGGTGCGAGAATAGAACATAATAAATAATACAATTATTAATACTTTTAATATTACTACTTTTAAAAAAATACTAAATCATGATCTCTTAAACCCAGAAACTAGTAAACACGTAAAGCCGATTACAAACAGATATAAGATACAAAAGCAATAATCAGGCACGATAAACAGAACCTAACGGAAGCGAATAGGCAGCCGACGGAACGCGACTATATTGCACTACTTGCATTACATCGTGGATTAAATGTGACCATTTTCAGGGCTTCTACTAATTTGACTGACCGTTTTTCCTTATCGGGTGATGAATCCACATTTGACTGTTTAATTAGTCGAATGATAACAGAATATAATATTTATGTTACATATCTTCTAACGTTTTCGTAGGTGAAGTACTCCACAAGAGGCACAAATGGTGGTGGTAATTCAAATTAATAATTTAATGAGTACACAAAACAAAACCACTAGGAATTCTTAGCCGACGGGAGATATCCGCCGGCCGACGGCAAACACGTGCGAATCTAGTAAAACCACGCAACCTGGGTTCCACGCGCGATATCTATATAACTATACGCCGCACTCGTCGGGTACTTCTAAATCTTATCTTTGCTGACCGATTTTAATCCAGCTACCGACTTAAAATCACCAGAAACGCGATTAGTCACCACGAAAACCGCCGTTCAAGTAAACGCGTCTTTACCACGCGGCAGCGCACGATCGACTAAATAAGGAATAGAACAAACACTGCTGAGCGAGCCCGGCGCGCAGCAACGCGATAACAAAAAGTTGTTTATGCACAGACACCGATAAAGATCAAGAATGAAAACTAGGAACAGTTCATGTTGTGGATGCAGTCCAATGCAATGAAAAGATTGTATATTGTGAACCTACTGTCCTACTCCCTTATTGGTATAAGCAATACATCCTAAAATCCAGAATTAAATGCAGCCAATATAAAAAGGCAGCCACGGAGATAATCTGGTGATAAATCAGGGACAAACACGAAAAATCTCTGCTCTTAGTATTTTTAGCGACTTAGAAGGGTGACAGTAGAAGTGACTCCCATTCAGGGCACCGTACGAGGGTAGCGATAAAAGTGACTCCCATTCAGGGCACCGTACGAAGGTAGCGATAGAGGTGACATCCCTTCAGGACACAGTACGAGGGTAGCGGTAAAAGTGACGCACATTCCCTATTAGCTAAGCTAATTTATTTCGAAATTTTAAATTTCAAAATAATTCTAAAGAAATTGAAACGGCATGCGGCTAGTGTGAGACTTTTATATAAGACTTTTATAAAATAGTCGGGATACAAAAGTTAAAAAAAGTTCTTATATATTATTACATAAGATATAAGATAGGCATAGAGATAAGAAAAACATGTTTGTTTATGAACGTCAATATTATTAATGTAGTGAACCAAACGTAAACAATTCTAATATGAATTAAATATTTATTTATGATTATAAGTGCAACCGAAGATTTTCGTTGAGAATTGCAAATTCCGCTTTTCGTTACGATTATTTTCCAACCCCATAAATTTTCATGATTTTATTATTTTATCTTAATTAGCAGTACTCGTAGATTAAAAATCTGCAATCCGTTGTTGGCTATCGTTTTTAATACACGAGATGAACGCAATTGAAAACTTTGTAAACACATACCTTTAATTAATTGAATGTTTTGTTTAAATTTTATTTTAATATGAGGCAGCCTTACCTCTAAGATGATATCCGACAGAAATCCATGTTATGAAAACAAACCATGTGGGCAATGCACAATAACACAATAGCACAATAACAAGAACTAAATGAATTGAACTGAATGAAACATGCTTCAAATGGAGGTTGTAAGATAAAAGTAAAATGCGAATACACTACACACTATCATTATCAAAACCCAGTACAAATAATTAACAATAAACACTGTCGATTGGCAACCGAACATAAACACAATTTACCGAATTAAAATTTCAAGAAACGTGTTGAGCAGTCAATGCATACGTAGCAACTGACTAGAAAAGATAAGAACAAACTAGTTGAACAAGGCTCTACCTGCTGCGCTCGAGAGGGGGAATTGTTGCAGTGTGATCACACACAAACAGAATACTATTCCAAACTTTATAAACACAAAGTAAAAGAAAATATATATAATTTTCATAGAAGGTTTAATGCAAATCATTGGCTAATTTTTAATGATTATCCAATCTGGATTAACAAAAATGCAGTTACCAAATGAAAACCAAAAAATTTATTGATTTCTCATGTAAGTTACAATATAGGTACATGGGAATCCATCAAATGAAAAATAACGACATTTTATGTAATTAATATATACTAATATGTAACAATAAATAAATCTGTTATCCATTAAATGGTGGTTTTACAGGAAATAATCTGAACCATTAATTACGAATTTCAGCAGTGCAGTGTTTTAGCTCTTGACAGAGTAGGCATTATAGCTTTGGTTTATTTTGTTCTAAACATCAAATGCTTGCGCTGCAGTTGTATCAAGTATTGTACTTATTAACTTATCCTATCGGTGCTTTATTGAACCAAGATTTCGTAGTCTGGAAAGCCCAACTCCTGACCACCATATGGGATGTAGATAACACCGTGACTGGCTTGCACTTTGCCAACGGTAAGCGTTCCCTCGTGATTGACTCTGCCAACAAAAAGTGGTTCGCCATCCTCTGACTGACCAGCAGCGACAGCGTTGCTTGGAATGTTCCCACCTGAACATGCCATCCACGTACCGTTAAAATCGCACAATATTTCATATTGTACGCAGCCGTTTTCAGCACCACCCCATGGGACGTAAGCCTGGCCGTGGCTGGAGATGAGCTTGCCCGGAATCAAAGCTCCCTGGAAATTGGCACGGGCGACATACAAAGGTTCTCCATTATCTTCACCGCCTGGGAATGCATTTGGTGGCACACTGCCACCTTCGGCCTGCACCCAGCACATGCCGGAAGAGCCACCACCGCCGACCTGAGGTTGTTCAATGATCCAGGAACCCGAAGCGCCCCAGCCGGTGCAAACGCCGACGTAGCTGATAGGGATAAACTCGCTATCGGTCCACGACATGAACGGGCTGGTTTCCCCCTCCCGTCCAGCGGAGACGGTGCCACTTTCCCAGCGAACCCAGAAACCGCGGAATTCACCATCGCTCAAGATGTTAGGGGTGTCTACCTCGACAACGTCGGGTTTTGAACGATTTTTGCGAATAACAGACTTCTGGTTTCCCCAACCGCCCAAGAAGATCTCATACATGGGGTCGCTCTCCGACGCGGAGGTGGTGAGAGCAATGTGTGCGTCATTGGGGGCACGCACGCGGAATTGTTGCGAACCGGAACTGTTGGGGAAGAAGTTGTACTCCAACTTATCTTCAGTGGACAATTCTGTAAAGAGGTAACGGATGTGTTAATCATCACTGCATTAAATCATAAATTGACGTCATCCCAATTATCATAAATGAGACCTTTAACATACTGAATGAAGGTTTGTGAGTAGCTACCAACAAATGAAGGTTGTTTTTCTCCTGAACATGAGACGCATAAACATATCTCACGTACACCTTACAATGCTACAAGTTGTACATAGTCTCATGAAAAAATCTTCATTAATTTGTCCATGTATGCAAAAATGTGGCGTGACTTGTGTTGGTAAACAACACTGCGCCATCAGCATAAAGGTCAAAATACATGATAGACGGAAAGTCATATGCCTAGTTTGTTCATACAAATACATAATTGCAAACCTGACACAAATTTAATTTTAATGCACATTGTTAAAGGTAATAAAAATTCTAATATCCGCATATGAATAATTTACTAGCCACTAAAGAGCACGCAGAAATTAGTTATCGAAACTAATGGCAATTCAGACGTGTTAAAACGTTGCACGTGCGCCGATATGGAAATGTGAATAGAAAATATATTACATACACATATATAATACAGATAAAACGATATTCAAATTAGTTGGGAGTATAAAAACGTGGTGACATCCGTTAGCACAGGAATGCGTCAATAATGTATTATTGCCTTGATTGTTTTCGTCCACGTAGCGTAAATAAAAACCATTAACTTTATAGATAGAAGTTGTGCAATATCAATGACTCATAGCGCAGAGCCGTCTCTCGACTAGTTCATATTCAATGAACAGCAAATAAATCGTATGAAAAATGAATGCAATAATTAGAATATGAAGTAAATTTAGGTCAAAGTTTAACGACTCTTTGCATACACGTCTAATGCTAAATTATTTTCGTAAAAAACTTAATGTGGGCTCTGCAGAAAACATTTTAACCTTAGCGATTAATGTGATAATTATTATGTTTGTTATGTTAACCAATTAGGAACAAACGGAAAGTTTGTGAACGACTAATGTACTTGATTATCGCAATTATCGAATTCAATCTAGGTACACAAATGTTCTTTTAATAGTGAATCGAAGTCAAAACAAATATATAATTACCTAGTTTATGTCAATAAATTTATTTTCGAATTGAAATCGAAACGAGTTTGGGCGTACATTCAAAAAAACGCCAAAACGAGAAATCAAATTAGATACTCGGAATGCAAGTGGGTACTAAATATGTGGGAAACAAATAGGCCGGCCAGACTGGCGCCTCTTAGAAGTCTTGTATCTCATATTTTACTCAATTCACAGATAGAAACTTTCAAAGCGTGGGATTTCGCTAAATGTATAAGTACATAAAAACAAACTGGGACAGAAACGATGATGCTAGTTCGCAACGGTAACAAAAAGTTAACTTCAAATGCCGCTACTTGCAAGATTGAATATTCATTCCTAAATGTGTACGATGTTAGATCATCGTTAAAAATAAACTACGTGGCAGGAGGTGCAAAGGCGAAACTAGTTGAAATATAAATCTTACGGCCATATTGATCGGATTTGATCGTTATGCGCATTTAGGTCGCATGGGATGCAGACATTTCGTCTCTGAACTTATTGATCTTAATCTCAAGGTTCACGATAATACAATTCAAGTGATGATCTCATATTCTCAAGTTATAAGTACTGATTTTGATTAATTTAACTCGTGAGACGTTATTAAAGTTGTGTTTAATTTAAGAATTACTTTCGATAGTACTTACCAATGGGAGCGGCCATAATGGAAGAGGATATCCAAATGTATACGTGAAACAAAATACGTTTCTAGCTGCACTTGCGAGAACTAACTAACCGGTGAAGTTTTACACGCGGCTATAAATATAAACTACGTTGCCCATGCGGCGATTCGGCCGGCTATACGCTGCCGGCTTTCAACATTCAACCTAACATTCAGGAAGGAGGGAGTTCAAGTACGTGTCAATGGTACGAGAAAAAGCGAGATAGCTGAATCAAGCAAGTTTGAAATTGTTCGATTACATTCGAGAAACTAGTTGTTGAAGAACGTGTCTTCGTCATTTGCTGTAGTGGAAGCGGTGGAATCATTCGTTTATTCATTTTCTGCGTGTTGCGGGACGTGGCATGAGAATTGTACAATGGTAGGATTTGAATTTGGCACATGCGCAATGTGGAAGGACAATGCCCACATACCGGCGATGTACATAGGCTCCTTGTGACAAATTCCACTTCCACCGTAATTTAAAATTGCGCTTACTTGGGCACTTGCTTGTGCATTAATCACATCTTTCGATTGTCTAATAAACTAGAAATGGTCAGCATATGTGTATTTATAGACATGACACGTTGTTAGTCTAGAATTAATAGTTCATTAATGTTATTATCTTAATAACTAAAAATGTGCAGTTTAAGATGATTAACTTTGGTTGATTCATAGCAATTAACTAACTATTTATACAAAATTCTTTTGTTCCTTAGTGTTAATTTATTTTACCTGAATATTATAATATTGAGTCGCACTGACTCAATGTCGAGAAATTTATCATCTTAATATTTTTATATGTTTATAATAAATACTTACATGATTCATGGCCACATTCTAGAATTCCATTATAAAAACAAGTAAAATCTAAAAATACTTTGCTGAATTGAAAAATATGTTTGTTTTCTTTTAATGTATGTCAGTATGACATCATTTGTTTGCACAAATAATTATCACATATTTTATTCCCAATAAAATCTAAAAATGAGAATGATTATGATAGATTGACGAATAAAAATAAATTTCAATGCTTTCAATACTTACATTTTTCAATGGCAGGTTTAAGGGTAAATACAAAAGACAATAAATACGTTGTGGTTTTCGTTCAAATTATTATTAGCATCAAACTACAATATTTTATTTGAAAGATTAATTAAATTAAAACATCTCACTAAAAGTCTATGGTTAAACATCAACAAAACTTATTTCATAGGTATTCAAATCGAAACAATCTAAAAATCTATTACACTGTAATCACATTTAGATAAATATCACAAATTGGAGAGAAACCCGCCCCGTACAACAACTGTTACTTAAGAGGAGGGACTTCATAACTAAATGTTTACAATATTACACATTGTTTTTGTGTTTTCTTTTTACAATTGTTATTTTTTTGCCGCTCCATTAATTATTTTTAATCTTCCGTTTTGTATTGGTAATTCACCCTCGTTTTTTTGATCTTCTTATGTCTATCCCTCATTGAAATTTCTATGCATTAATATTACTTCAACTTCGATCGTCGATTCATTCCTAGTATTTGTTACAGTTTTAATATTATAAGATAGTTGTTGTATTTATTTTATTTTTTGCTATTAATCTATGAATAGAATACTAATTTTATTGAATAGTTTAATCATATTCACGTGTTTACACTGTAAAAATATTTCCTTTGTTACCATTTCTTTAGTGTTTATCAGTTCAAATTGATGATGTGAGTGTTTCGTTTTTAGATGATTTGAAGTTATGAAATACTTAAAATTATTTCCAGTTTACATAATAACTAAACCTTCGTTTAATAAATGATTACTGATATTATTCATTAGAACATAGACCCATTTTACATTGTGTAAAAAGTGTAAACAAAACAGGTACAAGCGTTTTATATGATTTAACTATCGCTTTTGTGATTGTGTCTACAAACCCAATTCAATGGTGAAATTAAAAACGTATTTGTTTGATTATTACTTCATAGGCCAATTACTTCAAATATACCAATAATATTTCACAAACGAATAAATTATTGAAAGTACATCACAGCATCATATTTCAATTTCAATTTGTTAAAACCTATCAATTTACAATTCTAATAATTCAAATGTGATTTTTGTCCGTACAATAATATAATTTAAAGGTAATTTTGAGTATAATCTAATACGAATGTACGGATGTAAGCACATTATTGTAGTATTCAGCAAGCGCAACGGTGACAATTTCATCTAAGTTTTCAGCATGGCAGTGAAATGAATTAAGAAATAAAATTAATACTGAGATCAAAAGTTAAAAATAAAATAAACCAAATCTTACCCTTTATGTTTGTGTAGTAAATTAATTTCTTGGTTATTATTTTTGTTGCTAAGTTTGTTGTACGCGTATGGTTGCATTTATTAATTTAATTTGTATTGCGGCTCCTCAGCGAAGAAATTGATTCATGTAAGTCAAGTGTAGAGTTACAGTGTTTGGTATTTACGGACAGTTACTGAGGATATGATTAGTTAGTAATTGTGATTATATTCTTTTACATCAAGTAAGTTCGTGAATTGAATATTTGTAGTGTTTTGTAAATTAACATTTGAAGCACAAGTAAAATCTACGCGTTATTATAGTATTATGATGTGTTTTCTTACCCTACCTATTTTGTATCTTTGCTTCCAATAAACATCTCGGTTTAAACACTACCAACATAGATATTTTTCTCTCCAATGTGCAGTTTGATGTCTGCATTTAATAATAAAAGCATTTTTAATTAAAAATAAAACATTGTACCAAAAATATTTTCGCAATGATGTGACTTATAGTTACGCATTCCTCCTCTGAAGAACAAGGTCTGTTTGATTACACTTTTTGTCATTTGTCATAACGAAACCCTCAAATTTGATGAATATGCGTATCCTTCCAGAATATCAGTCAAAAGTTTGGAAGTGATACAGTATACAAAAGAATGGAGATATTTGTATTAATAATTTTCATAATCAAGCCTCATCATTATACTCCCATTCAAATATTTGTTATTTCGTAGTACAATACATTAATGATATCGTTAAATAAATATTATTAAAAACTTCCACATCATTCGCGGGTTTGCAGATTGAAGGTGTCGTTTTAGCGCGAATCAGTAAGTATTCAGTTTCGGAATTATACACTCTACCGTATCTTGCATGTGCAAAGTTCTGGCTGTATTCAATAAACATATATCTTATCTAAATCCGACGAACGCGTCCAATTTGTGCTGGCCTTCAACTATCGACAACCTGGTTGTTTATTCCTAACTCGATAGAATATATATTTTTTGTATATATTTACAATAACCTTCTCTAATGCCGAAATGAAACCGAATCAACCTCGTATTGTGGCAATGTTTGATATAAAACAAATCGGGCACATTATTTAACACCAAATTGGAGTTATGTCAGTATATGTCGTTGTTGTACTTGCAATTACTTAGCATATTGGATAAGACCGATACAAAAACCAAGATAAATTGACTGAATCCTTTTCGACACTTCACCCCGTCTCAAATTGAAACATTGTTTGTTTGACGCATGTTTGTTTTAATGTGTGTGAGAGATTTTATCACGAGAGCACTTTGATCATTTGTAAAGGCACCCTTCCAATCATTCGCATCGTCTAATACAAAATGGCCAAAATCGTTCATATAAATATTTTTTGTTTAATTTTCGTTATCTTTTCCTTCATTTTTATACAATATATTACTATTCATTAATTAGCATTACTTTATATTGTTTATATTTATAATATATACAAAAACGTGGTCAGTTATATTTGTTTCGTTATTCAGTTGTATGTAATCTTGTTTAATTTCTGAAATTACGTCAAAAGTCTACTGATAATTACATTTTGGATGCGCACTGGGTATTCATCAACACAAAGGCGATAAGATCACCGCAAATACCCAGTATGTATACTGTGATACGTTTCGTAAATCGATGAATGCACATTTGACTAATTGCATTTGCACTTCGTCATGAGGGCTTGATAGCATTGACCCAATATAAAAATTTGAAGAAATATATCATTTACTTAGGTATTGGAAAACTTTGACCGCTTAAAATGTAAATCAATTACATAAGTCATTGTGCTTGGCATTGTTTACACTCCTCTCCAAATTTACGAAATTACACTTTCAAAGGTTGCCAGAGCACAACAAACAACAAAAATAAAACGCAACTTACTTTGATTATGTTTTCGAGTGGTGCGCAAAGCCGGTGAAACTGTTGATGCGTTGGTCGTACATTTGTTAGAATATATGATGTAGATGCGGATTTCAGTTGAATATTAGTTGCAGTGCAACTGAAAATCCGGACGACAAGCACAACATTAAGTTGCGGACTTACAGGATTTGAAAGATGCGATTGGTTTGTAGTGACTTGTCGAACAACTGGCTCAATTTGTCATGTACCGATTGACGGTCCTCAGCGCATAGAGCAACTCAGCTTGCATTCGAGCCTCCAACACCATCAGATTTACGTGCACCTATTGACAAGTTTATTTTATCAAGAGCGGAACGATACGACAGAGAAATTAATAGTTACAATAAAGTCTCTTTTGGTTTGTTGGAACCTACCTTTTCACTGTGTTGAAACTCTCTGAGTACTCGATCGTAATCCTTCTTGGTGACGCGCTCTGGATAGCAGCAAGCGCTCTTGATAAATGTTTTCAACGAACGCTCCAACAATTGATTGATCTCGCCGTAATCGTAGTCGTCGTGACGAATACCCAGAAGACACTGAATGTAATTCCATATGGCAAACCGAAAACGCGATGTATCAACGTCCTTACGCCCGCCCATAGTGTAATATGTAAGATGGTACGCGGTCTTGAACTTGTCGTCCAACAAATTGCCCACATCATTGTATAATCTATAAGAGTATAAAGTTAACACAATTCAAATTGGGCATTACATTTTCAAAATAGACATTACCTGTTAACTAATGAATAAGCATGATCGTCCCAAGAATAATCTTGAACTCTAAATGTTGAAATCGATTGATGCTCGCCCCTTCGAGCAAAATCTTCGTAAATGAAAACTGCGTCGTCAACGAAAATGCCCACATCAGCGGGTGTGTCCTGCGGTTCAGGGCCAACAGCTCCCAATTCAGCCGATTGCGTTTCCACGTTCTCAAATCGCTTGGCCAACTCCCCCGGAGTGCACTCCTCTGTTTGCTCCGAAATAGTCTTCATTCGGCGCAATAAAGTCAAGATATCAACTTCGCGCTCCGTCGGGGAAGGAGGTGATGGATTTGGCGAAACTTTCCCATCTAAAAAATAATGTCACACGTTAGGAATCACGTTTTGCTTTCGAGAGGAAATCGTAAATCTCCAGTACAAGGATATATCCGATCTAAATGAAATGCGTGTAGCTCGTATACATGCAATTTACCTGGCGGTCTAGTATCATTTAGTATTGGTATATCTTTGGGATCACTCTTCTTACTGATATTTGTATTTGTAGTGCTCATCGCGGCCATCTCAGGATATTTGTAGCCACCCGCTTGATCCAGTTCCTGATTCACACCGCAAGAGAAGACAAAGGAACAAAGACTATGGAAGTGAGTCAATATCACGATGGCGTGTACCACCTCGGCCAACGACCAACTATCCTTTCCTTTCGTCAATTTCTGTAAATTAATTAAAACACGACGATAAAAACAACGCATTGCTAAAGATTATCTTGTTAAATACCTCAATGTGAGACTTGTTTAACAGCCAAGGTCTATGCGCTAATATCTTATTGATATCGTACAAATTTCTCAATTTTTGAGGAATGCAGTTGAGACCATTCAACCACTTCAAATCGCCGCCCTGAAGAAGGAACTCCTGCTTCTGTAGAGATATAAGATAGCTGCACTGATGGCGTCCAGCCGCCTGCAAACAACAGTGATTAACTCAACAAGTTTGTGACAAACGACGCGGAGAGCATAAGTGGCTTTGGGAATAACGGCTTTCCCGGCCTCCACTCAAATGAAAGTACAAGTGCTCAAACTGGAAGCAAACGAGAGAAGTTACTTACCATAATCGCGATGTAATGCCTATAATCGTAAGGCAGAGGGCCGTCGCCACGTAGTATGAAGTTTTGTGTTTTCAGAAAGTTCTCCAAGTACGTGGGATGGTAGCCCATCACCTGGCTCACATGATCCAGTCGATTGTTTTGCAAGAACGCCTCGACGAACAGCGTGTGTGTCTGGAAAATTGATATGACACAGTTTTAATTTACTTATTCAGCAAATTGCGTTGATATTAAAGCAAATTAAAAATTAAAAGGTCATTGACTCCATCAAACATCTTTGCATCTGGCAAGACTCTCTTTGTATACATTTGGCGCAAAGAAAAATATGGTGGAAACTTATTAACGCCAGGCCTTTGTAAACGAAATCGAATCCAGATGATGGCGTTATTCCACGTTTTACGCATCACATTTTTGTATAAATTACGAGCCTTTTTTTTATTTTCATCGCCCTCGTCACGTTTTTATTCTTGAAAAATGTGCTGCGAGAAAACGAATAAAAAACGCGTAAAAATCACATTTGGCTTGAAAGAATAGCGCAAAGCGGCGGATCGCTCCCAAAAAAGTAAGCATCGTATTTGGTGCGGAAGAGCAGAATAAACGAGATTACGATTCATGATTTAGTATCACAATGACGGATCTGCTGAAAAGACTCAAAATGTCTCTAATTTGCATCTGAATTGAAAGAAAATGCTGACTAAAAGCAATACTTGTGCATAAATTATTAAAAGCAATTGAATAAACAACCAAAGAAAATATCAGACCCAAAATAAAGCGAATTGTGCTAAACGACTATAATTTATACTATCACGGAAATGCAATAACGAAATGAAAAAGGGAAAAAATGGTAGACAAGGCAAATGTAAACAAACTAAGAATAACTACGATCGAATCTGATATAATCCGCGCGCTGACGGTGATGTCGAAATAAGCACAAACTTCATACCCAAACGTTCCAAGTTGGAATAAACAAATTTATCAGAGAGCAAAACGAATTGAACCAAATAAAGTAAGCGCGAAGGCTTTTGCGACGAGGCGTGATGACGCAATGCATCGCATAGTCGAGCAGGGATGGAGAGCGTAGTGAGTGAAGAACGAAGCAAGCGAATCGACACAATGTCGAAGTGGACGCTTCAAGTGTTTTCAATAATAAAACGAGATAATAAAAATAACAAACAACAAAAACACACATAGCGGCGGCGGATACAATCCTTATCGAGTAAAAACGACATTTAGTAGTAAAAAATGCAGACGTATTCGTAGTATTATTCTCAGCCGCTGTTGATAAATGAATGCCGACATTGCATACATTCGTAATTAGCGACGATAAATTATAATTATTTTATCATTCCATTTCCTCAATTTTTCACGATTCAATTCAAAACAGCTCATGCAAGAGAATAACGAACACGCTTTGTTTCGTAATTACAACGATCGCATGCATTGCGTACGAATCTCGAAAGGAAGCAGATTTATCGCACTTTACACATTGTACGATAAACACATTATTTTAATTTAAATTCAAACAAATGTGGCACGCATTTACATCATATGCAAATTGACGTTTTGTTGGAAATGTTAATACACACATATACATAATGATTGTTTCTATTGTTATTCTCTGAATGCCTATGCGCCAATTTTAGATTTCAATCTTCAATTGCCAATTAATTAATGCGTTCATACCTATGGAGAAAACAATTCCGAATGACAACAAAGCGTTCGCCTTCCTACTACATCTGGCTAATGGCACTTGACCAACCAACCTTAAAATACTACATTTGTTTAACTCTGAACCTACTGGCGAGGAGTATGTATTAAATTTGGGCATCCACGGCCCGCTAATCGCGCTACGGGCTTAATTTATCAATTGACGTTGTTTATAAAATGCTTTAATAACAAATGATTAGGCACTACGGTTGTTAATATGCAATATATGAACGAGTGTGCGCGCACCGTTGATGAATTGGTAATTGACCTTGTTTTTAGGTACATTTTCCATTAGCGTTTTAAATAAACGCAATAAAAAACAATTGTACATTTTTAATACATCTGACAAACAAGCATTAACAAATTGTTTCAATTACAGTATCTATCTAATAATGGTTATCTGTGTTTTTTAGTATTTGCATTTTTTTCATTTATTTTTATTTTTACTTAGTTGGATATGGCAAATGTTGCATGTACATTTGTAATTAGCTTTCTAACCATTATCCTATGAATTCACTTTACATAATTAGATACCAACATTCCAGGAAGCAATCCGGTATATTTCAGCTTTTTATTTATTTTAGATGTCATTTCTAGAAGTTCAAATATTTAGTATTTTTCTTTCAAAGTTAATAAATCCTGGATTCGTCATTATCTTACTCATTTCACAAACTCAACAGAAATTCTGGTATTCCTTTGTTACCAAGTTATTTTGAAACATTTTTTCTCCATAAATTATCCGCCCCATGAAATTAAAATTTTTGAATATTTAATATTATCTGGAAACATGATTCCCTTCGCAAACGTAAAATACACAAACGCAATTTAGGTAACTTCTTTGTTCAAATATCCGCATTGCTACAACTCGACGTAAAAACTCGTATTGTGTGTGAGACGCTGAGTAAATTAATAAAGTTAGCAGAACGCATTTGGGCGTTCTCGGGCTGGCACTCAATTTTGAAGCCGGTGTTGATTAAAACCATGTAGGGCAGTCGTGGACTCTTGTTATGTCATGTTAGGATGTAAGGGGAATTCACCTTTAAATTTATTAAACATAACACGTGTTTCACCTTCCTACGCAAATGTACTGGGTACTGGGTTGCTTGTAAGTAACTGCCTGGAATAATGTAATAAGTAGAGCGCGTAGGCCAAATTGAGTGGAGCGGAGAAGAAAGAAAACCGGAATTGACGAGTGACACTGACCACCCATGACCTCTGCGCCAGTATTGAAACCCTGCGAATTACATAACCCAACCATCAAGCGCACACAGCGTGAATTAATCTTGACAAAATCCCATTTGACCCTAATTATAACTCTTGAGCCACTATACACATAGAGACGAGAGCTTTTTCACATCGGGTGACATACCTATACATCAGCTTCGCTTTCAAATAAAAGAGGTTGCGTACTGAACTAACTACACTGGCGCGCTGTGATTAATCATTACAAAACTTTTTAATCAAAAATCCTCTTTGTGCGCTGCCTGCTTGCGAACGGGGGGGAACGCGCTTTGTGTGTTAACTAAAACACTTCTCCGACTTCATCACGAACGCCTTTGAAAATATTTGATCCGGAAAAGCTGAGAATCCAAAGAACCTTTTTCTATCCAGCTATCCGATGCCGTCGCCACCAACTCAGCGCCATGGTCGCGTCGTCTTTATATTCGACCGATACCCAATGCTGTGGGCGATCATCGCCTTCCACTCGTCCTCTCGTCATCCTGCCTGTTTCAGCGTTTCGAGAGCGCCACTTATGTGAATAGGCCTCTGCACGTTCCAGATAAGTAGTAGTTCCTCGGCGAAACCCACTACACCCCCCAAAGCTCTACTGAATGGCTGCCACTGCAACGCGAGCAAGAACTCGAAGCCTCTTACAGAAAATCCCGAGTGGGGTCACGATCGCACGAAAATCGGTAACAAAGAAGCAGCCAACCCTCAAACCGGCGATGAGCTCTCTCTATATTTGATCCATACCGAAGTGTAGTATAAAAACATTTAGCAAGCAAATTATATAAGAGAAGGAAAAAAACGCAAACCACAAAACCATAACCTTTGTGAGATGGGCTCAAGAAGCCATTAAATAAATTAACATTGTGTTTTGTTTCACTTCGCGTTAACTTGACGGTTATTTTTGGGGGGCTTTCGGGAAGTAATGGCTGCGATGGCGTAATGCCTCAGCGCGTTGAACTTCTTGCGATCGCATGTAAGTATCAAGGGACTAAGAGTTTTTGCGGTCAGGTCGGTCGTTTATATCGATTAGAGCCAAACTTCTTTCGCGCGTGTACATGGCGCAGCTGAAGATACGAGACAACAAGAGAGAACACCAACAACCCTATCCATACAACAAGAGAATGAAGATGGAAGAGACTGCATTTTTCGATTAAATTATGGTGTGTGTGAAGCTAGAGTGCAATTTTGGGTGCTAATTATAAATCATTGAAAAGTTGATGCCTCAATGACACAACCAACATTCATTGACGTTGGCTGTTTACAGTCATCATCATCGTATTCATTAGCACAATTAAACAACTCTCTAATATTGTGTCTGCAAAAGATATAGGTGTTAATTAAATAATATACAAATCAACAGTTGACCCCTTCCCGATAAATGCGAACAATAAACATTGGCGTCACACAAAACAAACACTTATGATTTATGCCATTCCAAAAATCAATTCAGAAGGTGTATTCTGATTATTCAAATCAGCACGTGTGAAATGAAATCGTTAGATATTAACAATATATTCGGCATTCAACGGAACGCAGCACCTCGCTGTTATGCTACAACGCGCCAACTAAAAACACAACGGTTCAACTTATTTGATATTCAACGCGGTCTTTTTATTTAACTTTAACAACAATGCGTTTCGAATTTCATGAATAAATCCCGTGCAATGATCGTTCCATTACATCTACAGGGCGCTGATAATGGTAAAGCTTTTAAGCGGATATTTAACGCATCGTGTTTTTTTGTTGTTGTTGATCTCGTCCGGTCTTTTTTTTTCATGTTCGATTTCTATTTCAACGCGTGCATGTTCGGAAGGATGGATTGTTGGCGCATGTGTGTGCGAGTGTGACATGTTTACCAATTAACAATTATGCTGAACATTGACATTGAGATTGTGTAAATTGGCAAAAACTCGTTTAATGCCACTTGTCGTTTTTTTCTACATGACCAAGCAACCAACCGTTTCGTCGCCTAGCGTGTTATATCATAGGTTTCGGTGCGGTGCAAACGCGTACAGTGCCAAGTTTATGTAAAAAGCATGTCCAACAAAAATACATCTACAATTGCATCTAAAGTTGATTGAAACATACGAATGCGGGCGTTTGCACTTTGTGCAAAAACACATTTTTTGCATTTGTAGGTAAGAATGACCTCAGCACTGACAGCATTTATCCAATTTAGTCAATCTACGCATTCCATTAGAAACAAATTATATGCAGGCAATCAAAGTTTAAAAACA